AACTTTACATGGGCGGGCCAGGTAGGTGATCGTTGATCCATTCGTCCTTCACCGACTTAACTGCCACTCAGACCTTCGGAGCTAATTTCGAATCCGACGGCCGCCCACAAGGCACCCTGGACGTACAAACTGAGCAATGCGATCAGACGGCGAATACATGTGCCGTTACAGTCCCCGCACCGGGCGTAGCTCTCGTTTTCCTCTCCCATGCCGCTCTGACGGAGGTTACCGACGCCGCTCCGTCCACCACATTCTCTACTACATTTTTAACAAAAACAGTAAATACCCTCACTATAGATCCGTCAGTGTTGGCGACGTCCAACGGACATGCGGCGATGCATGCCAACAAGGATAATCTTGGAAGCACGAGTAAGGGGAGTATTAGTGCAGCGGAGGTGACTGGGAGATTAGAGGGCGGTGCTTTGGTATTGTCAGCGATTGTTTTCGGAGCTTTGATGGTGGGAAGAGGGTTGGTTATGTGGTGAACTAGACAATCCAATAGTTATTATCGAACGAAACCAGGACTTATCATAATTGTGTACGTACTTAGTTGTATATATACTCTGTTTATGCTAGTGTGGCGGGAATTAGGCTCTTGTAATTTGCAGCTGCAAATTTGCCCTGCAAATTTGCGCTAATTTGCTGATCAAAGCTACAAGCCCGAAACCAGCATGCAAATTAGGGCAAATTAGCGAGGTCTTGAGTGAGAGAACAACGGCAGGTTTCGGCGTCATTTTCTGTTAATGGGCATGCTAATGGCTTCGTCGAGATCGATTTTGAGCGACGTCTGTGAATTCGAGGAGTAACTCGGGATTTTGCTCACAAACTCAATCATGTAAAACCTACTTTGAAAGTCGTTCCATACGCCCGCCGTCAAATGTGCACCTAAAGAAATTCTTTAGACTCAAACAGCACGCAAGTAGTCATCAGTAAATAAGTTCCCTCCTCGCCATCGTTGATCCCCCCGTGCAGTTACTTGTGCACATAACAAAAAAGTTGGTCAAGCAGACCCTAATTTGCGTGAATTAGCTAATTTGCCCTATTTTGCGGGGCTAATTTGCGCAAATTAGCCGGGCTCCCGGGGGCTGCGCCCCCGGACCCCTACCTGCAAATTTGCCGAAATTTAGGGTGCAAATTAGGGCCTCTTTGAGGCCCAAGCAAATTTGCTTGGGAGAATTAGGGTATGGGGCTATTTCCCGCCACACTAGTTTATGCAGAGAACACCAGGCATGGTTTCGGCCGGCGCCATTGTTGTGGCCTTGAAGACAAATGAGTAAAGTTTCTTGAGTACGCTGATTGAACTCTGTAGGTGTATTCGCTTCCACCCCCGCGTAGCGTTTGAGCGGCCGCAGTGAGCCTGCGCCTGGGTTCTTTGGCTGTCTTGAATTTTCAAAACTTGGGAAATGAGGACAGCACCCTGCCTAGCGACAAACCTCCCCTCAAAGTTCTCGCTCGGCGGCGGAGAGGGGTAGATACTCGTTTCGATTCGAGCCTGGAAATTGAGACATTGAGTAAACTGCGTCGGTGCGGCAAAAATTATCGTCGGCGCGTTATCACCCCTAAACGCGCCGTGACTAATCACGTGGTTTGGTGTTGAACGCCTGTCACTAGTCACAAGATTTGTGTTTTCTCCATGCAGCTCGAGTTCAAGTTGACCTCGAGGCCAGCTACTTTGCATGTTATGGCTTGCTATTACCCTCCCAATTATCGGCGGGTCATACTTCAATTCCACCAGGTAGGCATGGCAGAGCCCCTCTTGCCCACCAACCAGTCGCTAAGAGTAAAACTTGTAGTTGACTTGTAGTTTAGAATCGCAATGGGATCGAACCGCCCAACTTGAAGAACAGCCCGGCACCCAACCAGCGCAACATTCATTTTTTTTTCAGTGTTCTCCCTCCCCACGTTATCTTCTTTCCCCTTATTCTATGGCATGGAAGAGCCCCTGACAAAATCCATTGATTGGAATACTAACGCTATTCCTTGTATTCTTGCATAAAATTGGCCATTGCGGTCGTGAAGCATGTGAGTAGACATTATATTTTCTGCCGCTGTCATACTTATCGTTGTTGAGATTGGAGAAAAAACAATTCCAAAAATACGGTAAAGACCGATTATCAACTCACACCAATCACAGAATCAACTTTCTTTGCTGCTCATGAAGCTTGTTGACCAGGACCACGACGATCAGTGTCATGCACTTTCTTCTTGAACTCACGAAGGGAGTCTAGGAGTTGCCAACGTTTTCATTGTTTGCAATTCATCTCTGTGCATGAGTTTCTTGTTGACGAACCGAAGCAGATGGGCGTGCCGAGCATAGTTATTGACGCTCTGTAATCCTGGGCCAGGTCTTTTCACAGGAGTTTTCGACCTCGAATCTTGAACGTTGACCCGCCAGGGATCACTGGATCCTTCGTGTCCACTTACACCCTTTGATCTCGAACTTATCCCTCCAGAAGCTTTGTACCGGAGTGTATTAACGGATCTCTCTAGCCTCTGACCGCCCAGTTTCTGGCTTTCTACTGGTGTTCTTCTGTCACCTGACAGTTATGATTGGGAAATGCTAGAGCCGCCGCAGCTCGTGTTCTTTTTGGTTACGACACCTCATGATGAGCCGTTCCCAGATTCAAATAATGTTGGGACGTACATCTCAGTGTATGTCCGCGAACGGTATATGATCAACTTTCCTTGGTGAAAACTGTTGGGTTCGGGTTCAGTCAATATGCATCAGTGTCGTTCGCTTAAATATGTCTATTTCAGGATAAGAATCGACATGTGTTTTGGCCAATCTACTGGGTGTATTGAATTGCCGATTCTTTATCAAGGGATAGGCTTTAAGATCCAAGAGACCATACCACTCTCCTCCGCTCCCTCCACCCAAGGTGATGGCTATTCCGCTTCTGTTGACAAGGCCAGTATGGGCAAATGATTATTCTCAAATAACCACAGGCAAGAATTCGCGCATCCTCCATGATTTCTTATCCACCCTCGGATGTACTATGTTTTCAGTTAGTTGGTTCATTGTTATCCGTAATCATGCTCATACTCAAACATGATTGTGTCATAATCTGAAGTTCACTTCCTTCCCGCGGCCTTTCATTCAAGAACAATATTATACGCGCTGTTTTAAATCGCGAGAATAAGCCACTCATTTTCCCATCTCATTTTGTGAGTAGGAGGCTCAAACTTCATGAAATCACTCAACGTACTAAGTGTAGCGATGAGATGCCTTGGCCGCTAAATGCTACATACTTTTGTGCCGCGGCGCTTCAGGTTAAGGACACCGTGGCCAAGTATCATGAGAATTGTATCTCGTGAAGCAGCCTCGTGCGCATGATGACTGCCGCGTTCTGGGAATGAACGAAGTAAGATGATGTGTTATGCACACCAAGTTACTGAAGTAGATATCAGGTTTTGAGAAGGTCATCTCAATCCCTGTGGATTCAAAGACTGCTTTTGGCAGTTTAAAATAATACTGGCTTCCCGGTATCTGTCGCGAGTCCCAATAATCGAGCAGAAATCTTTTTTTGGAAGCGCTGGTCGAGCTTTCACGCGCAGAGTACCCTAATGCCTTTATTTTGAGTTGTCAGTGCCACGCCAGTTTCCCAGTCCCCAATTAATTATGGCACTTTCCGACGACGATTGACAAAACGTGGGCGACTTGGGACTGAACTCCGTCTACTCCTTCCGAACATTATATACATGAAAAATAGGGTCGTCATGTAGGTTCCCTGGCAATGAACTGGAGGGTGCTCTACTTTTTCGACCGATATAATTTTTGCGGGCAAGGGAAGGGTATAAAGCTCGCGACCATAGCTCTCACCAAAGGCAGGACAAGTTCACTCCTATATCCTTTACTCTCTATTCTTGCACACATTTATCCTCCATGTCTTCTGCTCGTGCCGACCTAGAAGTGAGGTCGTCGTTATAATAAAATTCACCGCGACTCACAACGAATCAGACCAATTATAACGGTTACAAGGAAGGATACTCCCAGTTCGACGGGACGCCACTGGCACGAACCCCTCGACGTACACCCATGGCATGTGTATTCTGCAGAGGTTAGGCTAAATGTCTCCGCTCCTTTAACACCATTGAATTTATGTGCATCTCAGGCCGAAAAATGAAGTGCGACGGAGTCCGGCCGTCGTGTGCAAACTGTGATCGTCGTAGCTACCCGTGTCAATACACACCGGTGTGAGTACTCAGTGATTTATAGCAGGAATGCTTCTCCACTCACCATGCTTCTCAGTACCACTCAGAAAGAGGCGTTCTCCCCGAATACCAGTTCCACAACGAGTTCTAGTTGAAGTTTCTCATCGTTCCCCTCGCCCTATGCCGCGTATTGAATCTAAAGTATCGTAAATTCTCAGCGTTAGTACTAGATGTTGTCATTATTCAAAATAGAAGTTGCCTGTAGTTCCGCCAGTCCGTCCTAGCGGCAAAAGGTGGCCATTTTTATGATCCCTATTAGGGACGATGATTAGGCTGTGGTTATGTGCGGTATAGCTGCACGTTTCCGGAGTAGGTAGCTTGAGTTCCTTGCGGGAAACCATCGGACCACGTTCAAAATCAACCTGGCGTTAAACAGTCAACTCTATTTGCTCAAGTAAACATAAAAAAACGGTTCTCATTTGGAAGTTCACAACCGAAAAAAGTAGAATCTTGGTCCATTCGGTGGCGAAATTATATGTAGTTTCTTGGGGTCGATGAAGGGTTTGAAGGGTATGACACAAACCCTTGTACTGTTGCCCGGTTCCGTGATAAATCCGTCACGGAGCCTGAGGGCTGAGCATTCTTAGAGATCTCGACTCCACGCCTAGTGAGCATGTCACAGCAACACCTGGTAAGCTCCACTTTGAGGTCGATTATCATCGTAGACGAGCTCGAAAGCGTCAGCTTTCAACAAGATATGAGGCCTAGAGACAACGAAGATCAGTGATTATCGATTAGGTATGGGCCGTATGGCATTGTGACTGTCTCCGAGTCTGTGTCGAATTCGAAAGTAAAAGTCATTCAATGTTACGCGCTTCCCACGGTATTCATCTTGAACCTCTAAAACTGCTCACCACGATTCAAACGGCATACTCAGCTACCTATTGATCAAAAGAAATGGGCGCCGTTTTCGACTTGTCAAATTACCGCATCAGTGGACATGATACTTTCTATATTCCCAACTTCATTACTGTGCGTTGACCCTCCACCGTGCCATTACCCAAGTCCCTTCTCAAGTTGCACCATTCACGTCTATCATAGTGCGAAGAAGAACTTTATTTGATACGAAAGGTAATCTCTTTCTCAACGTCTTCGACCATGGTCGCTGGACAGTGCGCCTCCTGGAATTAGGTCAATGAGACGCCTCAACACAAGTGGAAAAAGTTAGCGAACAGACGGTCCGAGGAATAGCTTGCGATTCAGTGCCTTCTATTGAATGTCCGTTAGGCTTCAAATATGGGGTTTGTTTTCTACGTTTAACGAGAGCAGTCTGTCAATGATGGAAAGTTAGGGGGGGAGATCACGCCGAAAGGTGTACTTCTTGCTGAACCCTTACCCGCTTTTATCGACAATTAGTCCATCTGTTCCCCTTTCTTTTGCGATTTCTGGCTGAAGCTCTTTTCAAGCCCTGATATCATATCACGTATTAAAGCTACTGGAGCGTTCGCGGACTCACCTCACGGCATGCCCAATCATGTTATTTTAAACGAGGTTCATAATCCCCTGTTCTTCTACTTATCGCCACAACTCACATTTTTTCAAGTACCTTCCAGGACAAGGAATCATGGTATAAATTTATTAAACAAATCGCGTCTGTTATTTATGCCGTTCAGCCCCATGAAGACGGACCCAGATATCATCCTGTGGTAGCAACCGTTTCGTTGGGATCTCATTCGGTTTTCAATTATTATCAATATGAACAAGAAGACGCCATTACCACCGTATCGCGCGGAGAAGGTCGAACCATCAACATGAACCCAACTTTATCGCTGCTCCTGGAGCCACGGAGTCTCGTCATCTCGTGCGGTGACAAATATACGTCTCATTTACATGGGTGAGCTTATTTTGAGTTGTCTACTCATCATGTTCCAACCCTTTTGATCAACAGCATTCAGGCCGTCCAGGAGGACCTGATCAGCTCTGAAAATCCCGAGGAGATGTTACCAAAAATTATCCCAGTGAGAATTGCAAATTTGGAACTACTTCAAGACGAAGGTATCAAAAGTTCCATTGAAAGAGGAGAAATTTTGAGACGAAGCGTGAGGTACAGCCTGACCTGCCGCGACGTAGGTCGAGTTGCTAATTTGCGTCGTTAAATGTAAATGACCCTCGGCGGAACTTCCTGTTTGACCCATTTTTTTCAAAATGGTCCGCTTGGGGCGAGAGCAACCTCCGAGAAAGCTAATGCGCTAGTCCTACTCGCGAGAGTGTGCGAAAACACAGGTGTAGCTCCGCAGAAGGTCCGATCCCGACCTGACCCCAAACGAAGCCGTCCGTTTTTCTTGGGATGTGTTCAAGATGTGTTACCTGTAAACTAACTACCCCTGCCAAGCATTTTGGAAAGGCTGCCGATTCTCGAACGGTGAACCGATGTTCGTGCTTTTGGAGCGGCAAATGATGATAGGCTTATCTGTCAATTCATACATTCCCCTGCACTGCATGCTAGCTTCTTCAAGGCAATGTCGTATGATCATATCGTCTTCACGTCAATGCTGTGAGCCGAAGAAGCCCGTTTTTTGTTTCAGCCGTTACTTTGCGGATGAGCTGCAGGTGGACGAAGCGGTTGCAAGGCAGGGTTTCAAATAAAATGTGGTCGGATCCAGGACATGCCTGTGTGTCAGAGTCCACGGGTCTTCGCCGGTCAATTAATGCCTCGGCAGAAAGCAACTTTGGGGGTGAATTTTTTCGAAAGTACATTCATTTTCCTTACCGCGAAGCGGCGGAAGAGACTCCTTATCATGGGTAAGATCTAACCAAACAAGATGCTCAGGCTGACCCTAACACGCACCGCCGTTGACATGAATAAAGGGTGTCCCTGTTCCTGTAAAATGCGGGGAACTCTTTCTTTCAGAGAGTCAGTGATATCCACTTAATAAGTATCTCCCAGTTGCCAAATTTCGGAACGGCGTGTTTGTAAAGGGGGTAGCTGAAAGACCGTAAGTAACCAGTATGTTCAATTTTCTCCGGATCCGCGAAGGGATGGAGTCATGTGGCTCCACGAGCATGGTAGTATCCCCTCCCGCGTTAGGCTCGACTACGCGCATACGCGCTGTCACGGAGGTCCTGGAAAACCTGAAGTTCCGCTGTTGTAAATTGGCCCCCGTTTCCTAGGGTGAACCTGAAATGGGCCATACGTCGGTCCGATCTGTTTCAATTCAAGCACTAGCCAGGGATTGGAAGAATACACCAATGTTTTCTAGTCCAACACTGATAAACGACCTCACCGTAGGGACGTAAATGGGCGGTGTGCATGGGGTGGCAATAATGAACCTCAACGATAACATTAATGTTGTTTCACGTCAGGGGGCAATAGGTACCTTAAGTCGAAGCATTGACTCTCGACATAAGAAGGGGCAAATGCCAGCCAATTTTCCGCAAAGAGTAGTGGAAGTACCGTAAGGTAATGCTGCGGCTTGCCCTAAATAAAGAATTATAAAGTTGGCTTTCCAACTTTTTTTTTTGCCAACCCTGCTTCATAAAATTGGACAAGCTTCTCGCTGGTAGCACTGAGCGCCTACTCGGCCTTCGTTCCGCTCCTTAATAGTGCCTTCGTTCTAGTTTCGACATTCAAGTTCAAATGAATCCGAATTCTCGGAATTCGCATCCAGTTCGCCGATTCGGGCCACCTTTCAGTTAAAACCTACTACCCCCCTCTTATTCACTCAAAACTCGGCGCATACTTCAGACCGAGTCACGAGTTGCTAAATAGGGGGAGAGCTATAGTGCATTTATTTCGGCCTGCCTCTTGATGGTAGACGTGGGCCTTACGAGGTGCTCAATATTGTGTATAGTGTACACCGGTACTAGTAGAAATTTTCTAGCGCTCAATATAAATAATGATTCATACCCATCGATGTCCGGTCAAGCTTGGATAAATTGAGTGGTACCTTTTCATAGAAATTCACTGGAGGAATTCAAGTTCCAAGTCAGTCTCTCATTTCAAGCAAAGCAAGTTGCGTCGTAAGTACGTTGGCAATAAAAATACACAGTTAAAGTTCTGCTTCATATTCTAATATACAGAGAGTCATATGGGCCGAGATCGCCAGGATCTCAACAGTGTCCAAATGTCTGTGAGATTTAATGCACTTCTACAGAGACCGCCCCCACTTCTCTCGCAAATTTTTGGAACGCCTGATCAATATCGTCGCCGGAGCCCAGCATCCGATGAAGCGCCCGACCAGTCTGCTCATAGTCGCACGCAAGGGAGTACATCCAGTACGCCAGATACGCACCGACGTGCCCAGCATCGGAGTTGTGCAGCGCGGCTAGCGTGCGGCCGGACGGGGGCTTATTCCCCGCAACGGCGCCGCTTTTAGCTTCAGCAGCTGCCAGCTCGCGATTGAACGCGTCATGCACAATTGGGCGTTCCTGACGCTGGGGTGATTTCCTGTCGGCAGACTCGGCATCGGTGAAGTGTTCGGACACTTCAAATGTCGGCACAGCGAATGCTTCCCATGGAACTGTGCCAGCACAGTCCCAATCCAGCACACCGACGATGTGTCCTGTTGCGTCGACGAGGATGTTCTCGCTGTGGAGATCCCCGTGGCGCATGGGGAACGGGCCCCGATCATCCCGCTCGTCAACGAGGGGCATCATAGCGGCGCGCCAGAGCGACGCAACAAAGCGTCTTTTAAGCTGTGCGCCGTCCGTGTTCGTGATGCCTTCTTCGATCACGTCCCCTGATTCCTCGTCCAGACCGGCGGCTATCGCTAGCTTCTCATACGCCTCTGCCTGAATGGCAAAGTACTCCTTCGCTGACTCGAAAGGACCCAGCCCAAAGTCAGCTCCGGGGCCGACTGACACGTGGCCCTGATCGTCAATGACGAAGGAGCCTATACGGTCAAAGGTTATCCTGCTGAGCTGCACGTGAATGTCCGCGATGTCGCGGAGGTAACGTTGTAGGATGGGCCGCTTGCTTTCGTCTCCTCCAAGAGGGTCACCAGCCTTGCCTCCGCAACCAGTGGCACTGTCGGTGCTTAGCTCGTGAATTGCTATTCCGCAGTCTTCTATGGTCGTTCCGGTGATGGCTGTCATTAGAACGAATGCGGGGAAGTCGGGCCCTAGGGGGTTAGAGGGGGACGGGATGGGGTGGTAAGCGATGATTTCGGGAACGGGGATGGTGGTACGTTGTCGGACGAGGTGTAGGGCCGCCACTTCGTTCAAAATTTTGCGCTCAAGCTGAGCGGCAGTGTTGAAGTAGGCATCCATAGGACGCATGCCGAAGCGGATAATCCAGGATGTGTTATCGGAAAAGAGAACCTCGAAGACCGTGAAGGACTGGCCCCAGGTGTAGTGGTCTGTAAGGAGGCGGCACGCGAGTCTCTGAGGGTGTAGAGATGTGGCGTAGTTTGCTATGTGGGTGAAGTGGGGTTGAAGGAAGTCGAGCATGGAGGTTACTCGCCCTGCATACTCTGATTCCAGAACATCGAGAGATGCTTGGACATCTGGCCAGTTATCACTAATGGGTGGCATGTTGTGAATGATTTATGGTGGGTCAAGGATGTTGTTGGATGTAAATTTAATGTCACTCAGCGACGGTGGAGAAGTGAAAAATAATGATCACACAGTGAGGTAATGGTGGAGTAAGCTGTCTAAGGTGGAGAGGAGACGACAAAGCACAGCTGTCATGTTGAGGAGAGCCTGTCATTTGAGGCGTGTCCAAGGCGTGTCAGCATGCATAAACAGAGCCCCGGTCCACGACTCAATTCTCCATTTGATCAATCAGGAGCGCCGGCGAAAATCCTCACCTCCCTTGTTTAGTCCCCTTCACGTCGTCAAGTGCTTGAATAAAACAAAAGTGACACCCGTAGAGTGTCTAGCGCTACTCATTCTGGCCTCACGACGCGACAACTTATTATTCGTTCACCTTTTCTCTCGAGGAGCGTCTCGGCTTTTTCCTTGCTGCGCGCTATGAGGATACAGATCATCAAAGATTTACATATCTAATCCCCTTCAAGTCCGTTGAACAAATTTCCGACCAGTTTGCGCAGTTTTTGGCGTTCTACTTCCTACTCTTGAATTGGTGGTCGGCCGATGTCGACGTGAAGATTTCTCTGGTTCCGGAACCTGGGGCTATCCGATCTCTCCGCTTACTCCGTTGCCAGTGACATCGGCTCACTCTTTGTCATGAAAGTTTTGTTCAGTGACAGCCTTACAATCATTCATCCACAATCACCCACTGCCTGTCCTCCGGCGCTATGTTTTTCTCCGCCTTGGCGAGGTTTAATTGTAAGCGAGACGGAAAGGCGAAAACCTAGAGACAAGGTTGCTAAGAGGGTCACCGTGACTCCACTCGGAGTCGAGAGAGAAGCGCTTTCACAGAGAAAACTGGGCCGATACTTTTATTCTGTGGATCACAACGAGAACTTATGACCTCCTTTTCTCCCCACCCCTCGGTAAGGTGCGATCGAACCCTCAGAGGGTCAAACGTGTATGAACTTTGTCAATTTGCACGGGACAATTATGGACAGCGTTTCAACCCGGTTTCAGCAGGCATTTGGGAGGAGTTGATGAATGGCTCTTGCGATCACCAGGCCTCAGGTTGGCCTCGCCTACGGCCTGATCTTCTCTCCACACTTCCAGAGCCATAAACTTTGCATCTCAAGATTTTTATTGGGAGCCTGTACTTATACCTTAGGAATGAATAGCTTTAGATGAATCTTGCTGCTCCGAAGAATCCACCTTCACATAAAGAATTCTCATATTCACTGAAAAATAAATTCTGCCATAGCTCCTGAGGATTTTATTCTACAGCCGAGGCCGTGTAGCCTGCATACTTATATTCCAAATGGGCCAAATTTGAGAGCAAGAGAATAAGAATTGAGCGGACTGTAAGCCAAACTAAGCATAATTACGTAAACAAGGGTCTCCACCCACGCCAAGAAGAGTTTAAGCTAAGAGCTAAACCAAGTCTTGCCTTGCGCTCCTCTTCTGGCGCTGGGATTGACCATGGACGACCCCAAGCTCCCGGAATTCAGCAATGTTCTGGCTCCCCACGACCGCACCTGCTGCGGGGTCGTTGAGCACACTGCTATCGCGGTTCGAGAAAAGCGTTCCAGTCGCACCACCAAGCAACCTTGGATTGCCTTGAAGCTCATGGTCTTTGTTACGACTGGGATTTTGGGGTATACGTCGTACGTGTACATTGGGAGATTGTGTGTGCCCATAATACGGAAGCATTCTGGGGCACCAGCAGGTCGTGGAACTGGAGGTGAGTGCAGACTTGAATTTGTGGAATGGGACGCGTTGCATTATGGCCTGGCCAAGAAATTTGTCGGCCATACAAGACTTTGTCCCTTTTACATGCTCTACAGGACTCAGGTAACTGACAAAGCTCGGAAACAGTTGCCTTGCTGGTCGTCTATGCGATTCTACTGCTGTGGGTGGTTTGGGCATACCTCAAAGTGAACCTATGTCCTCTCCCCTCAAATCCTCGTTCCTCATCATTTTATAAAGGTTATTCTGACGCCTCCAGGTTTCGCTAAAGACGTAAAACACTCCAATCAATCGTTCATAAACAGGCCCAGTCTAACATTTCAATCCAGTACATTCCCAAATCTCCCAAACCTCTCTTACCACCCGCGAATTCTCTCCGACTATCTTGGCGATCTGGGTCTCCAGACGTGGAGTTTATCGGAGAACCCACGCAAACTCTGAGCAGGCATCAAACACAGCCTTCGCTTTCCGCAGCGAGTCAAAGCCATTACCCCATCGGCGGCATCGGAGGACCTTCATACGAGGATATGCTTATGTCTCCGCGGAAAAGCAGCAGCGTCCGGTATTCATCAGGCGAAATGGACAACGGAGCGAGGTTGCCGATGCCTGTGGTTAAGCAGGAGGAGGAGGAGGGGTCGGTGAAGGAGAAGGAGGCGAAGTCGCATTCGGCAGCTGGCGTGCGTGATGTCACCCCAAAGACTAGTATGAATGGGGAAGCGACACTTGCTGGAAACTCGGTCGGAGAACCGCAGTCGAAGGATATGAGTAGGAAGGCCAGTCGAAGTAGCCGGAAAAGGCCATTGACGCATATCACGCGTCGGCCGCCAATGACTGCGGTTTTGCTCCCTGCGCACCGGTATTGTTCTCTGGATGAGATTGTTAAACCGTACCGGGCGCACCACTGTCGGGCTTGTGGGACTGTGAGTCTAACTGCCTCCTTATAATTTCTCTTTCATTGACTCCAGAACCTAGTGTGTGCTGAAATATGATCATCACTGTCCTTGTATGTTGCATCGCGTTCTTATGGTCCTTCAACGATCATGATGTTGTCTAGGGATAGGCCAATGCGTCGGGGCGCGTAACCACAAGGTATGCTACTTCCATTCTTACTCTACTCTTTTTCGAAGAAAATAATTGTGCAGTTCTTCCTCAACTTTTGTCAAGCGGCCTTTGTCTTTTCGGCTTTTGTCTTCGCAACCCTCATCGTATACACCGTTCGGATGATGAAGTCGAGTTCTGATTTGGATCCGCAGATGATTGTCATCATTGCTCTGTATGTTTGGAAAATAACCCATGCACGAAATCTCATACCATTTACAGATCTGGTCTGTTTGCGCTGTTCACGAGTACGCTGGTGGTGAGCCATGTGCATATGATATTGAAAGGCCAGACAACGGTGGAGAGTATGAATATACGAAATATGAGGGAGAGAGAATCGGCTACCCTTCAGAGGGCCTATTCTTGGTGGGAGTTTGGGTATGTTCTCTTCTCTGTCGATTTTTTCCCTCCCTTTCGCAACTTTTGTTCCCGACTATCATTCATTTTCATCTCGCACCTTAACCTTCCTTGAAGGTGCTCATCAATCTGTTTCACGCAGTGCCAGAAGAAGAACTCTCAAAGAATGGGATCACGAATGGGGAGCCTTGTCCACTGAAGGCAACATCTGGTGGATGGGCAATCGGTGCGGGGAGTGGTTCAGCGTGATGGGCTCCAACGCGTTGGGATGGATTTGTGAGTGCTTTGCTATCATTTCTTTTCCTTCCTGCGTCCACCTCGTTCGTCATTGACACTCCTGATGTCCACCTCATCAGGATCAAGGGAACGGACCTTGGACGGCCGCCGCCCTGATGACTTGCACGATGAGGTCATGATTGATCGCTTGTTTTTGGTGACCGGACTGCAAAACTCTTTTTTGAGCGCATGGGGCTGGCATTTCTGCTCTTGGTTTCTCCCTTGAGAGGGGAGCGTCACCTGTTGCGTGTCATCCAGTTATCGATGACAGCATCGACGTCCTTCTTTTGGGGTTAGGATCTTTGAGGGTGGCCCGGTTATGTCGGGCCTCTCTACCGCTCAAGCGCTCAAGTCATTTCCCATCCTTTGGTGATATGGGGGGGTGGTAATCATTCAATGTCAATGCTTACTTCAATATTTCAGTTCCAATTGGAAGAACAGATGATGGCTTGTCGTATCCAGTGAATCCTCGGTTCGACGAGGACGGTCGCTGGCGAAAACGTGAAGAGTGGCCTGAGGCGTTACGATAACGACTTTTCTTGGACGAGATTTACAGGATATCATGGTGCACACGACCCCCATTGTAGACGTCACCTGGTTTATATATCGACCTTATCGGGTTGACAGGATTGTATACTGGTCTAGCTCTTTTTCGGTTCATCGTGGTTTTGATTTATGCTGGCTACCCAACACTCTGCTACTTACTACCACATATTGTACAATAGGAATTTTTGAATACATACCGATAGACCAAGCTTAATACACGGTGCTTTGGTTTACCCGTTTTCTCCGTTCGTAATTGACTATCCTGGCGTGGTTGACCCGGAAGGTACATCATACCCACGTGACCTTGACTAGCCGAATGGGTGGGCGGAGCATGGAGTATAAATGGGTCGCTCCCCGACGCCGCTCCTACCACCCACGATAGAAATTAAACCAGCCAATTTCAAACGACGCCAACGACAACGATGTCCCCAACCGCTACTGCCACCAACAGCCATGATTTCAAGGGCAACGGTACTCACTTGGCACCCCAAGCCAAAACTGTTGTTCTGAAACCGACGCCCGCCTCGCCCAAGATAACGTCGGCAGATGTGATTCACAAGGAACACAAGTATGGCGCGCACAAGTAAGTCGTCCATCGCCTCTGAACTGGTTTTAGGGTACCTTGTCGACGATGAACTCGTCCAACCCTCTCCAATAGACACCTTTGAACTACTGTTTATGTGTTTATGAACCATGAGCGGAAGGTCAAAACTGCATGGAGAGGAGGAATGTTACAAAAGGGCGCAGGATACCTGTATTCCCTTTCTCTTAATGCCATATCCTTTTATACCTGGAAGCTGACTTGTGATTGCGCTCTTTTGGCTATTAGTTACCACCCACTTCCTGTCGTTTTCGACTCCGCGAAAGGTGCCAAGTGAGTGGTTTACGCTGCGTGTTCAATGAAATCACGGTGCTGATGCGTTTATTCGTCAGGGTGTGGGATCCCGAGGGCAGGGAGTACATTGATATGCTTTCTGCGTATTCGTAAGCTCGCGGTTCTTGCCCTCGCGTCCGAAATTTCACCTGATGATTGCTTGCTTGTAGCGCGGTAAACCAGGTCCGACTCGTTTGCTTACAACCCTTTCATGTTAGCTCATGTACCGTATCCTCATAGGGACATTGCCATCCCCGCATAGTGGCGACGCTCGTTGAGCAGGCCCAACGGCTGACCCTCTCATCGAGGGCTTTCTATAACAGCGTCTTCGGACGCTTCGCCCAACAGATCACAGAGATGTTTGGGTACGACATGGTCCTACCAATGAACACAGGCGCAGAGGCAGTTGAGACTGCTGTCAAGCTTGCGAGGAAGTGGGCGTATATGAAGAAGGGCGTGCCGGATGGCAAGGCAATTGTTTTGAGTGTGGAGGGCAATTTCCATGGAAGAACTTTGGGCATAATTAGGTTGGCTAAGTTCTTCCTATCTATCTACCTTCTGATAGCGTTTCTGGTATAGTATGAGCACAGATCCGGAAAGTCGGGGTGGCTTTGGTCCATATCTGGAGGGTGTCGGTCCAACATTTGTGGATGGAGGGAAGACATCGACAATTCGCTATGGCGTCCTTGAGGATCTGGAGAGAGCGCTGGAATTGCATGGGAAGAATGTGGCGGCTTTCCTAGTGGAACCTATACAAGGGGAGGCAGGGTGCGTAAATCTTATTAAATCATCTTTACAGGAGCTGACCATGTGCAGGATTGTCGTCCCTGCGGATGGGTATCTACGAAGTGTACATGAACTTTGCAAGCGACACAATGTTTTACTCATCTGTGATGAGATTCAAACTGTATGCTAATTTTCTCATATCACTTCCAATCATTCATTCATGATATTCTTAGGGTCTTTGTCGAACGGGAAAGATGCTTGCATCGGAATATGACAACGTCAGGCCTGACATGGTTCTTCTTGGGAAAGCTCTTTCCGGCGGAGGTGCGTTCATCTTGTCGCATACTAGTTCGTCGGACTGACCATACCTGTAGTTTATCCCGTCTCCGCTGTTCTCGCCGATGCCAGCATTATGCTGTGCATCAAACCTGGTGAACACGGTAGCACGTATGGCGGGTACGTTGTAAAGCGACTGCTCGATCCATTCCTTTCTAATCGTCAATAATCCAGGAATCCTCTAGGCTGTGCTGTAGCAATGACAGCACTCAACGTTCTCGTTGACGAGAAGCTCGCTGATCGCGCAATGAGACTCGGGGAATACTTCCGCACAGCTGTGCGCGATTTGAACTCGCCGCTGGTTGCTGAAGTTCGCGGCCGCGGGCTGCTGAATGCTGTTGTCATTGACGAGACGAAGAGCAAGAAGGGCAGGACGGCATGGCAGCTCTGTCTTTTGTTGAAAAGCAGGGGGGTGTTGGCTAAGCCAACACATGTGAACATGTATGTTGTCACCTTATCTTTTGTATCATTGCTGATGTGCTTGGTTAGCGTTCGATTCGCACCCCCACTTGTCATTAAGGAGGCAGACCTGGCAAAGGCTGTAGCTATTATTGGAGAATGTCTCGCTGACCTCGATGAGGTACGTTTGATAGTCTCCTTTATCAGTCTGTGACCTGATAATGTGCTTTCCTCCCTCAGGTTGATGTCATCCCTGGAGATGATGAGGAGGAGAAAGGGCATACTGATACGTTGACACTTTGAGCCGTCTTTTCCCTTTTCTCTGCATTTTAAATATTTTATTTTATGTTGAGGGCTGAGAGCTGAATGTTGTAGTGTACCATACTCCCAATATACGTGCACTAGCTTGTCCGCGTTGAGAGCCTCGCAATGACCATGAGTAGAGTCGAAGTTGTGACTGAAACTCCCAATTGCGTGCCGCGCAGATGTGCTCTTCTTTCTTAAGAAAGGTGCAAGGAATGGGGAACTACGATCCAAGGGTCCTGTCCAGACATCTAGTAGTGGTCTTCCTGAAGGAATAGCGCGTCCGCGAATGAAATAATATCGGTACAGGGAGTGAAGGGGACTCGTAACATCTTTCATCGCGGCACTAACGTAGAAAAAAATTGATGTTTTCCTCATTCTAAATGTTTCTAGATACCAGAAGCAGCGGGAACAACGGCTTCCTCATCTCTGCCTGAGGAATGGGGAATGCTTTGAGTATACAGTTATGGGTTACGGCTGAAACAAACGCACCCTCATAGAACTTTTGCAAGAACGTCCTTTGAGGTCTTTGTTGAGGCTCCAACAAAATACCCATAACGTGGTCTATCTGTTTCCAGCAATTCATCGTCTCCTGATAATCTTGCCTGTCCTTCAACACCAACACGTCGATTGCTTTCGGGTCCGTTACGTAGCGGTTCCTCTCGAAACGCTGGCGGATAGCATGTCGTACATAAGCTGGGGATACGGGCAAAGAGTATATTGCGACGATTTCTGGGGTCTATGGGCTCGGAGTGAGCTTTCCTAGTTGGATGAAGATAAGTTCGCCAACACGCACCGATCGGTACCAGTCTCTGTACAGGGATAATACCCTACGCCGCCTCTCTGCGTTGTCGAGCGATGTTTTGGTTGACCTCGCTAGGCGCGCCGGTATGGTAGACATTCTGCAGGAAAGCTTGAGAGCGGAGAACGGTGTTTGGACTCGGGAGATTGCTTTCAAAGTCCGCTTGCCTACCGTCCCGATTTGGACTTGCCCGCTTTTGTGCATTCAAACGATCCTTATATCTCTTCCACCACCAATCTTTATCAAGAACAGCAATGGTTCGAGGAACTGGTAAGAATTTTTATGCTATATACATTCCAACTTGACCGATCTTTCGCAGGGAAATTTAAACAGAAGCGAGGAGGTGGCCGCAGCTTCAGGTACGTTATCATAAAGTATTTTGACTCGGACAAAGAGCTCATTTGCGAAAAAATTATAGTAAGAACATGACCCTCGATGAGAATGGTACTGCTGTCGGCGAACGGACAAGGACTGGGCGCAGGTGAATAAGATCTTGCGCTAATCGTATATGAATCTGTGGCGTTAATCCATCGTGATCAGGGGTGCACAAGAGGAAGAAGGCGACTCTAGTGAGGAGTCTGAAGAGGGTGAGGAGGAGTCTGAAGAAGAATCTGAAGAGGAGGAGGAGGAGGAGGAGGAGGAGGGAAACCCAGCTCAACAGGAGCTCAGTCGGACGGAGAGGCGTGAACTGAAGAAGAAGCAGGCCGCGGAGAAACAGAAGATCGCAGAGGAGGACCCGGATTTTATCAATCCCAACCATGTCGAGAAGAAACTGAACATCTCTGATCTTTCCGCCCCAAGGGAACTATCACGACGAGAGAGGTGGGCTTTCTCTTTCCTTAACTTTCAAGTTACTTTGCTGACTTCGTTTTCAGGGAGCAGAAAGAGAAACAGGATGCGAAAGATCGTTACTGGAAAGTACGAGCCGTGTTCACCCAATTTCTCATGACGTTCTTCCTCACCCTGCTGTCATAGCTTCACGTACAAGGAAAGACGGATGAGGCCAAGGCTGACCTATCACGGCTGGCCAAAGTTCGTGCGGAACGCGAGGCTGCCCAAGCGAAGAGGAAGGCTGAAACCGAGGGTTAGTTTCTTCTTGCTTTCATGTTCTTGTCATCCGTCTTATTTCATTTATTTCACAAGCGAAAGCCAAGGAAATCGAGGCAAAGAAGCAGGCTCAGCTGGGTAAACGTGGAGCTTGACACCATAGACGGACGACGGACGCCTTACGCTAGATTTTCCGGCCAGGCGAGATCGGCTTTCGTGGTAGAATGTACGAACAAGGCTGGCAGATTGTTAATGTCATACATGTACAACAACATTCACACTTCAATTTCCCACAAAGGACTCATAACCCAGGGAGCAGAGCACTCCATACTGACCATAACGCAAATTGGCCGGTACTATGACGTCCGTCGTATAGAGCTATCAGTGACGTCTGTAATCCTGGGTTGTTTCGTGAAGTAAGGTAGCATGAGGCCGTCGAGCAGTTTGTCGATTACAATGTTTGGTGATGAAACCCGCCACACTGCCATTCTTTTCACAATGGCATGGAGGGGTGTGGAGTACAGCGCTCGTGATGAAAAATATTATGTCAATATTAGCACAGAATTATAGTACAAGATAGGTTACATGTAAAAAGTGATAACCTAGGAGACTTCCTCCATATCCTCATCTTCGTCGTCGTCGTCATCTTCGTCCTCCATCTTTGTATCCCCCGGAAGTGGTCCCGGAACATTTTCACCCTTCATCTGAAAATACAAAGTAAGAATTGCTTTAGAGAGGAAAGGGCCTGAATCCACTCACGCCTTCGTCCTTGTAGTTCTCCTTCAATTCAAAGAAACCGCTATGTTCACCACTCCGATGAAGGAACGCGACCTCTGACAATACTTCTTTCAGATACGCTTCCGGTTGTTGAGTTTTTTCTCGCAGAGGACGTATACCCCAGTGTGGTGTTTCGCGGAAGAGCGAGAAGATTTGGTCCAAAAGTTGGTTCCTAGGCATACGAGCCATACGCTCGAAAGTTCCTTTCGGCTGTTTAGGCTTGACTTTCTGTAAAGCACCAGTCAAGCCTCTGACATGGCCAACGACGAGGAAAAAACGAGACGACGTACGATAAGGTCACCAAACGCAGCACCAGCGCCAACACCCACCCCACTGCTCAGTCTGTTAACACCACCTCTGCCGCCTGGAACGCCAGCGTCCTCAATCATCCTGATCTGCCGCACCGGGGTGTTATACTTCTTATGTCGCTCCTTCATCTGCTTTCTGTATGTCTGGCTAAACGCTGGTCGAAGATTGCACTCATGTTTGATCCTTCCAGTGAGCACCGTCGTCCGCGCACGAGAATTAACCGTAGCAGCCGCAGCGCTGGTGGAAACACTCAGAGATGGGTCCTTCGGGCGCTCGGCAACGACAATTTGGTTCTCGACGTTGTCGTGCACCATGTCGAGCTCGTAGCAATCTGGCTCCGCACCCGTTGTCGGGTAATATGTCGTTGTCTGAAAAAGCGGTCGATTAGGGTTATACGGGAGCGGCGCGTTGGGGGTATTGGGGTTGATGTTGGGTGGTAAGAACAAGATAATGCGTGGCCTGCCGGTTGTTGGATCGTTGTTCGTGTAAACTCGCAGCGTCGCCAAATGGGCGTCTTCAACGTTTACAGATGCCCAGCGTTCCATGAGAAACTTTGGGATCTGACGGGCACAAAAAATTCAGGAAATAAGGGGGCGTGTGTTGGTGGATGATAAACCTTGACGAGCCAAACTTTTCCATTGCCTTGATCTAGCATGAGGTGCTCATCTGGGTCGGGCTGAGCATCTTCATCATTCCCAGTCTCGGCATCGAAGGGCTTTCTTTCATCGTCCTGGGCCACGTCCATGACGGTGAGGTGGGGTCAAAGAAACAAGACCGTCACGCACGTGACAAAGTGCTCTCGCTGGATTTGCTCTGGATCCTCAGCTACAGCTTCATCGTACACATGAAGACGACCTTATGGCGAACAATTGTACATGTACTGGTAAAACATCGACAAGAAGACGACTAGTTCATAATGTTATGTTACAGTTTCAACTCGAACCAAAATTGCATGAATCGCAAACGCTGCCGCAAGCGCTGCCGTCACGGCAAGCGTGAAAAGTCATCCGGGGAACTCGACTAGCGAAAAAATGAACAGCATATTTACCTGAGAGTGACTTACTCAATCACTGATGCCTTGAATCAGAAATTCAGCAGCTTTGGAGCGTGGCTTGATTGTGCAGTTGAAAAGTACGGGATATCTGTAAGGGAATGAACGGATACTCGTGGACTATATAGAAAGAAAACATACGACAGAAGCCCGCTTGTGTAATTCACCACAAGCTGATTAGGCTTTCCGGATTCATCAACTGGCGCATTAATATTATATACCGCCAAGACAGACGAGACGATAGAATATAGAGAATTATCGCTCAGGTACCTCCCAGGACACATCCTAGAACCCAGCTATGAATGACTTACTTCGATGCCATTTTCTCACTCACCTCCTGTCGAACCCGAAAGCTGCAACTCCTGGATCCCTAACGCTTGGGTCTATTTGACCGTCTTTGAGATAGCGCTCCGGCCTAAATTCTTCAGGGCCCTCGAATACTTCGGGATCATGCAAGATTGACCTATACACAACGTTTCAATACTAAAAGTTTTTTTCCCCCATAGGTGAAAAACGGACCATGCAGCTCCGATGACAGCAGTACCTTTCGGAATAAAGTATCCATCATACTCATCATCCTCAGTAGCCATGTGTGCAAAACCTGCCATGATGAACAGCTGGAGGAGAACTTGAGGAGGAAATCTCTTACCGAGGGGAAGAACCAATTGCCAACACATCATTTCCTTGATTATTGCATTTATGTATGGCAGGTAAGGGTGGTCGTTAAAGTCTGGAAGGCGATTTATTCCGACGACTGCATCGATTTCCGCCTGTGCCTTTCGCAAGACTTCCGGATACATCGCCATGGCCAAAAAAAACTTTGAGTGGTTAAAACCGTCTATTAAGAGCGAGTCGCGTCAAAAGAAAATTCGGAGAAAGTCTGAAGGACAGTAGTATCGGCTCCAGCTATCCTCTAGGTGATCGACAACGTGAGTTCAGATCCAAAAATCTGATTGCTCACCACTGTATGCTATCGCAGCGGTATTTCGAGAGATAAGCTCTTCCTCCGCTTGGCCTAGTTCTTCATTTCCGGGAAATTCCTCCAACAAAGAGGTCAGAACACAAGGTATCGCTGTTCCCTCTGCCTAAAAACACAATGTTTAACTTGTCCAATTAGTGGCCAGTAACGTGGAATTGAGAGCCTACCATTTTTCTCTGTACAGTTTTGAAGGGTTGACCCACAGCTTCAGCATTTATGACGGCATGGTGAGCAGCCTTCCGCTTGAAACCAGCACCAGGAAACCAGCTTGGCACATATTTCAAGACCGGCAGCAGGTCCACCAAAAAAGTCCCCGGAATGCCAGCCTCGGCAACGCCTCGCAGGGCCTCCTCAGCCAAAGTGATATAGGGGTCGTTGGATTCCAAGACGGGTAGGCCGTAAGAGACACTCATAATAGTCGATGCAAAAGTGCTGAGAAGATGTTAGTCAGGCTATCGGATATGAATGATCACGGCTTACTGTCGGATGTGATGCATAAAATTTTGCGGTGTCGTGAGAAGCCGACGGAGTAAGGCTTGAGTTTCTTTCACCTGGATCGGTAGATATTTATGGATGGCGTTCGCGTGAAAATGTTCGTGAAATGCACGGCAGTGCCTTCGCCACTTAGTCCCGTAAGGCATATCTGGTATATCGAAATCTCAACCCATTCTATGTGGCAATTTAGCCTGCTTGGAAGAAAACATTTGGGCTGAGGGGAACGTACAGCTTCAACATAGGCATGATCAACCTGTCTGAGTAATTTGATGATCTCTTGTCTAATATCATTTACTCTTTTCAAGGATCCCAAAACTAGAAATGGTTGGCCGACAACCTCAAAGTATATGATGTCGCCTGGTAAATAAATTAGGCACGAGCGCACAATATTAACGCAGGGCGCACCATATTTCTTAAACATTTTATCGTAAGCTAGCCACGGTTTATCCCTCATTGATGGCACCTCCAACATGGCTCCCAGAATGGGGAGCCCCTTGGGACCTGGAGGATGGGGAAGGCGGTTGGGATTTGTTTCTTCGATCCGATATGCTTCAAGCCCCATAGACCAAACAGCAAGCCCGCGATAGTGAGGTATGGATGAAACTGGATCGTCTCCATCACACCCAAGACTGTAGTGCTGGGAAAGCCTGAAGCGGGTGGTATGTCGTACATGATAGTAGCACTGCGAATGTAGCATGGGGGTAGTGATTGCCTCAACTGGAGCTTGTCATGTTTTAGTTAAATATGGTCGACACATATCCCAGGGTTCAGAAAAACAGACCCATGATTGAGGGGCTGGTCATACTCCTTGTCGTTTCCGCTAAATCCGCCGGTGCCATCGGCGTGGACACAAGACTTCGTGTTGACGTCAGGACTGGCGTACGACGAGAAAATGCACACCCCACTGCGTGGTTCTTCCATGCGAGCAACACCACAAGCCAAGCGTCTACCTTAGACTCTTGAAGAACGGTACCTACTCCTCCTTCCCCAACCCTGTGCGTCCCCTCCAATGATCTCTAAGCAAAGGGGGGTCTGAAGGCGTGAAAGGCCTCCTGGGGCTCGCAAGGACGGTGGTGAGTAACTCGGGGACAGTCTCTGGTGTTACCCGTCCCAACCTGTATGTAAATATGTAAGTCAGAAACTGGAACGAAGAAAAGCAACATGCGGACGTGCCATTCGCCGTGCGGAAAAACTAAAACGTTCGCAGCGTATCTGCGCAAGGAAAACCCTCAAAATCAGAGAACAAAAGAATGAGGAGAAAAAATCTTTAATACGCACTGGTGTCCACCAACATGCCCCACCTCCTCAATTCTCACCCTGTCCGCGCTGGCCCCCCTCTCCTTCACTTCCTTCTTCAAAGCACTAACAACCTTCCGACCCATGTCGCCGCACCTACAATCTCGCTCACCGTGCGTACACACGTACAGACGGATCTCCGTGTCCTCATGAGGACGACTCGGATGCAGACCCTCGGTGTGTTCCCTCAAGACGGCATACACACTATCCACGTCCTCCAACACAATGTTTTCGAGTTCCAAACGCCCACCCAAGGCCGAGAACGCAGTGGCTTCCTGAGGCGCGTCCGCACTATGATCTCCTCCTTCGAACTGACGATACCTCCCCACTTCGATGCGCGTAATTGTAAAGCGCGCTGCAGAGGCGTCGTCATCCTCGAGGGAAGCTTGGTAGGTGGTATTGGGGAGTGTAAGAAGATGTAGCTACGATGTGAAGCAACCGTGCCGTAGAGGGGCTTCTCCGCTGTCATTAGGTCCTGCTCAGATGATACCGCTGGCGCGGGTGTCTCCACTGTTGAACGCATGAACAGCGTCCGCGGAAAGGTTTGGAGACAGCGGCAAAGTCTCATCGCTGTTATTCGTAGCGAGTGTGGTGGGTGCAAAGTTGGCCTCAGTTTGTGCAATGGAGCGGGTGTTGACGAAGTCTCGGGGGTAGGCAAACAGAACGGAGGGGATAAGCTTTCGTACTAAGGAAGGTAGGTGCTGTAACCGGAAAGTCTCGAACTAACATACCTTCTAGGTCTTGAAATCGACAAGGTCGTTATTGGCACGTCTGGCGGCCAACGAATGTGGGCAAGAGTTGAGGTGGGGCGGAGGGTTTGGTGTCAATGAGTGATGGCCTCCCGTACACATACATATCTACAGTACGAGTAAGTTATTGTTGAGCCTGGCTGGGGTGGGATGAACTCGCACACCTTTTAAACAGCTAAACCGTTTAATGACAAAACCAAAGACAAGGTAAGCAAGCAGATTAAACTTTATAGCGATCCGCACCTTCAACTCGACCAACGCCGGCTATGTACCAGCAACGGTTGTCAATTTAAATAGGTGAGGCGAGTGGATTCATCTGGTGTGAGTGACTCTGCCAATGCTGTCGGCCCTGATAGTAAGTAAGCCAGGTTTGGTGGAGGATGCTAAGTACAACAACAATGCGGCTCGTTGGTGCCCAATCTAGACTCGGACCAGTCCCTCGACAGATTTGTCTCGGGACTGGTAGATTTGAACCGTATTCGAGTACAGTGCAGAAAATTCCCACGATTTAACGGGACTTAGACAGATTTCGGAATTCATGACTTACCACCTTCACTTGTGAACACTTCGCTGACATCCTCAAATACACATTTTTCACGGTCAAATCTATCCTATCTTAAGTTAACATGCCTGAGAAGCGACCGGCCTCTCAAGACGACCCATTTGCCGACGTGGATTCCGAGACAGAGACCGCAGGTCCAAGCACCCAAGCATTGCCATCCACACCCAGACGTCGCGGACAATCCGCTCCCGCAGCATCATCACCAATCAGTGTGATGAATCCCACACCTGTCAGACGAGGCCGTCCAATGAAGAAGGCACGCAAGTCTGGCCCAGCAACCGAGCCAAGACTGAGTGCTGCCGATCTGGAACAGCAGCAACGACTACGCCAGGAACAGCAGGAGCAACGGCAGCGCGAGATGGAGGCAGAGAAACAGCAATTGCGTGAGCAGGCCCGTCAACTTCGAGAGGAGACAAAAGAGCAGGAGAAGACGCGAAACGCGAAGGCGCTCCTTGACGTCATGAAGAAGGACACCGCAGACGGAGGCTACGGATTCAAGACGTTCAATGAGTTTATGACCGCTCTTATGGATTCCAAGGACCAGCAACTCTCTGCCTCAATGTCCCGCTTCTCAAACAAGCACGGCGGTGCTCTCATAGAGGCTCTGGCTCGACGTGCCCCAGATATAGCAGTGGATGCTGCAGTTGACACCTTGGCTGAGACGTTACAGAAGGAAGGTAAAGCGGTGAAGGAGATCTTTTCTCGGGGGTTCTACACATCAGTGTCAGAGCTTTTGAAAACGTTTTCGATGGAAACGCTCTCGCAAAAGTTGCAGGAGGCTGCACCAACAATCTGGAAGCTTCTAATGGAGATGTCTCTACCTCTCTACAAGCGGCAAGTAGTAGAAAAGCGCGTAGAAAAACGCAAGCGTCTTGCCGGACCCGGTTGGTACGTCAAGGATTGTGCTGCGTTTTTGTAAGATGTTTTGGCCCGTTTCGATCTGGAATGGGTGGAGGAATGGAATACCAAACGTCTCGCAAAGTCTTCGAGACGTTGAGGCAAGGCGATCAGGGTCCAAAACGATCTCTGGGCCAGACATCGCGTCGCAGGCTCACTCAAAGCTCAGCGAAATTTGGCTAAGTCCTCGTAATTCGTGGGAATTTTCTGTACTGTACTAGATCACACATCAAATCTTCCAGTCCCTACGGTAATCGATTGAACGACTGTCTTCAATTTACAAAAAGGGACTTGGCTCGAGTCTATGCCCAATCCTAAAGGGGAACAAAACCGGATGGTGGGACGGACTGAATAAAAAAATAAAAGACGACTATGGAGAGAGTGACAACAGAGGGATTCGAACCCTCGCCTCGAAAGACTGGATGGGAGATTGACAGTGTAAACCACCTAATTCCAGCGCCTTAGACCACTCGGCCATGTTGCCACAACGAAAGAAGGACCGACGTAGAAATCAGAACGGTGTAGCAGTCTTGGTGCATACTTACAAGAAGGATGAATCAAAAAAAGCCATAGCTTGAACCTCCGGGGCGTACAGAATGAAAGTAAGAAGTTCAGACCTAAACCTCAGCGCTAGATCGATAAGTGACTAGTGAACCTTCCACCGATATCGGGACAAGTGACATGGCCTTGGCATGTCCAAAGGATCAGTCCCAATATTGTGAAGAAACGCAGAATGTCCGAGTCAATGGATCGCAGATCCCTGGACGGAGACAATGTTATAAATAGAAAGGTGAGAAGGGTGAGATATAACTACCTGAGATAGGACACCGTCAAGCAGAGCTGAAAGAAAATGTCGCAGTAGGACAACACCTCGGAACAAAAATTGAGGATTTCAGCAGCGGGGATCATCTTGACCGTCTCTGACTCACGACCCGAACGATGAATGAATGTATTTATCCTCGAGGGCGTCAATGCCCGCCGACCTTTATTTATAGTATCCGGTTCGACCGCAGTTGACCGTGCATGATTGACGCCCTCTTCAATCGAGTCAAAGAAGATCTTTGAAGGGCGAACGTCGAATCTCCGGTTGACGCAATCTGAGATGGCAGACGACACAAATTGATAGGCCAACCCGCGACGTTCCAAAGCCGTTCACGTCGTAGCGTTGTCCTTGGTGTATGTAGCAAAAGCTTTCGACAGGGACTGAGTCAAAGTCAGTGGCATATGGACGTGTCAGATAATCTGTGAAAACATTCGTACTCACATGGTGAAAACTAACCCTAGTCTTCTTTTTCTTCTTCTTCTTCTTGGGCGTCTTCCCCTCGGTAGACAAATCCGCAGCGCCATCGCGGTCACGTTTTGAACTCTTCATGCGAGCGCCTTCAATCACAATTTTATTTGACCTGGACGAGTCAAGTACTTTTGAGTCTTCCACGCTGGATGGTTTTAAGACGGTGTCGCCGTGTCGGGGATGTCCTTCGCAAGGGTAGATGATGGCACCCGAAGGTCAACACCATCGCCACCCGTCTCGAAGAGACTCGCATCGCCGTATGGACATTTTTCTGTTCCTTCAGTTGTTCAAACCCACGCAGCCAGCCGACCAGAACTTCCAGAAGCTGATATAGAAATGGGCAGGGGATGGACCTTTCGCCCTTTGGCAGAAGTTTCCGGGGCGGATCTGGGGATGTTGGCTTCGACCCGAAGACTAGCATACAAGAAGAATTTGAGCCTCCGTGCGATAAAGAAAGGGTGGTACTGCTACTCACCTCATGGGCAACTTCTACTCCTTTGCCCCCCAAAACACGATGACCTTGAAGCTTATCGAATTCATTTGAGGATCCACCAAAAGAAATGGGAGGCAAGAAGCCTCATGGATAGCGGAAACGCTGAGCTCGATAAGAATCAGATCAACTGTGAGTGTATATGTGCGATTCACGATGGTTTGGCACTTGAAGATGGCATTCTCCCACTTTCCATGGTCGTGTGCTTCTGATCTGTCCAGTTCCACTTCTTTCAATTACTTCGCTCGATTGGCGCTTTGCATAAACTGGAGGCTGAGAATACAATTTTGCTGTTCATCGTTATACGCAAAGTTTTGAACGTCGAATCGGCGTCGAGACGTTGCGTTAAGGAACAGAAGGTCATGTGACCAACCCTTTCTTCCATGCAGTCTTGACACTGACAGTGACAGTAATCCCTAGCGAATTCTGCAGGGGTATAATTCAATATTCCGCCCTTTACGCGTTGACCTTTTGGTGAATTGAAATTCATCTTCCAATTCTACAACACAAGAAAGCTTAGGGTCTGCCAATGCTCACACTCAGGTCCGAACACTGCCCTTTCTGGTCCCCGGACCGAGGACTATTCGACACCTGACAAGGCGTCAAAAGCAGAAATAAATGGAAAGCGTTTCGATCCCTGCTGAGCAGGGTCTTAGGAAGCAACCCCTGAAATGGACGTTTGCACTGGATGGTGGCGTTACAGTCGAATCCCAGTTTTCCAATGACCCGGACTGGAAAGTCGCGATTCAGCCCTGTGGCGACGACCCATATCCTCAGGCTGGCCATAGATGTCCGTGGCCCAGGCGAAGAAGGCTTGCCAGACGCCTCCATTGAAAGCTTTCGAATGGCAGTTAAAGCGTCTGAAAGTATAACGTCAGACACCAAACGACTGCAGCCGTTTGTCTGCACTACGGAAGCTTACACATAATGTTTATCTCTGTCGACTCAATAGCGCCTCGGAACGGACGCCACAAAGCGGGGTTCGGTTGTTCAGATGATCGAAATCTGGGGTGCGTGATGACGAACATACATTTATCGAAACATGTCGTTTTTGACAAGAGCTGTCACGACGCATCAGGCAAGTGTAGCATGTTCAAAAAAGGGGCAATTTTAATGCTTACCGACTGCAAACCGACCGGTATCGACAACTTCGGCACATCAGACTCAGGAACCCCAGGTAACACTGACACTATCTAACGTTAGATTCGGCACATATGACAGCCGTCGCCACCCAAGAAACACCAGAAAGAGACAGCGGACCAACCTCGCCTCAATGGATCCCATCTTGCCTCTTTCAAAACGGAATCGAGTCAATCGATATGGAATGGATTGACAATGATAGGCCCGATGAAGTGCCTGACATCGTAACGAACTGAGGTGCAGTCGCACAAATGACGAGTGTGGGGAATACTGATGAGTAGTTCTGCGCGGGAACCCAGAAACTCGAAATAGGGTGCTACCTTTGTAACAGTCACCGTAAGTGGCCTTGGCGGCAGGATACAAAGTCTACAGTTGAAACGTTGAACTTTCGATCAGCTATCTGGCTTCTGAGAATAAGGTCCCGAATGTGACTCAACGTAAAAAATATAGCAACACGCAAGAGAGACCCTTGTGCTCGCCAAAGAAAGTAGAGGTGTGTCCGCATTGGTTCTGAATTTGGACATAGATCGCGTGTTAAAGCCGTTGCCTTTCATTGTGGCCCCCCCAAACAGCAGCACAATAGAGCACCTGTGTGAACGCGATGCCACAGAGCGTCTTATCCACGCAAGGCCGTGTCTCCATAACAATCACTGGTCGTGCATCTTTCTGAATAATAGGCGATTACGGTGGCATAAGCCATGAGAGCAAAAAACTGTGGTACCGAGCGCGCCGCTCGCAAACTTCTCGTCTGAAAAAGATCAAACAATTATCAAGAAGACCTTGAGCCTTATCAACCCAGGAACGGTGCCCGAAAGAGTCCCCAGTTTAAGAAGAAGAAGGAGCAAAAAGTCAGCACCTTAGAATAGCGGCAAATAATTGAAGCTTCCAATTATATGTCAATCTGGGGAAACTGCGCTAGAAAGACCTGCGCAATTGTCTCGGAGATTTGGAAAGCAGATGGGAGTGCGAACGAGGACAAATGCAGAAGTGGGCCGCAGCAGATTAAGTTTTCTACCGCCAGTACAAGGGTCGCAAGATTGACACGGTGTGAGAGGGCTGACAGAGCAGAGACTTTTTTGCGGGTTGGGCAAGTTGGCAGCCACTATATCCAGGATAAGGGCAAATGATATTAGCTCCCGAGATTGTAGGGAATAGCGGCCGCAGAGACTCTTACGCGGTCCTCTCCGTGACTGGGATTGGCACCAAGGAACGCCAAATTCGTGGAGCTCTCCTTGGAAGCTGGATTGATGACGAAAGTGAACCCAGGCCAGGAAATGGAAGATGAAGAAAGTTTTTACCCTGATATTTCTTTGATTTTCGAAGATATTTACAGGTCGTGTCTTTGATGCCGGAGAATCTACTTCCGAACCTGCGCGAAGGTTCCAGCTCCGCACAATAGAATGGATATCTTGAGTGCGAGTTGATGCCAGTCGACGAGCCGAACAGTAGCGGGTGTAGATAACGCAAATTGGGTCCAATGATAGTAGAAGGATTGCGGGTCTATGGGAATCCATGCCGGCCTCGGTATGGCGCAAAGCAACCAATACCGACGTAAAGTTTGTACCTTGCGCATATATCTAAGCAGGGTGGGGCCAATCAATGAAGAGAAGAGATGATCAGGAGGGCGCTGTCAACCTGAAGTGCCTGCGATTGGTGAAGACGCCGAGGTTTCGAGACGAAGACAAATCCATGTTAAAATTTCCGTTGTATAATAAACAAGAAGGGCACTTGAGGGATTGGCACCTTCATTTTACCCCATGGTCACTGCGTCTCCACTTCCATAGATGTGCGCTTCTCGTTGTGGAGCACGGCGTCAAGTTGGTAGTCGACGAGCCACATGCAGGTAAGAAATGATGTGAGAGGAACCCGAAATGCACGCATTCGATGCACAAGATGTATTCCCAGGTATTCTGCCGGCCAATAGGCTACGAAGATGCATCAGCATTGAGGAAGTGGTGTTGAGTGACGATCTCCATCAGCTGGTGCCCCCCTGGGCCAAGGGGATTTGAACAAGGCCCCGAGGTTATAATCATGATCAGTCATAGATAACGAGACCTGCGACATGAGATACTGATGAGAACCATGTGTTGTGGGAAACGAAAAATCCTCAACGCAGCAAGTAACGCCCTAGCACATCGAATGTTCGTCGACACGCTTGGAGGCTGGAGCACCGGAGGCTTGCAGCTTTTGGATGGCGCTCCTGCTTTGACTGGTGTCCCAGACAAGATCGTTTGGAGGAGAACATGACAGTTGAGCTTCACATACCATATCAACTTGACCAAACAAAAACCTTATTCCAACGTCAACGTTCCAATTTCAACACCTCATCATCTCTCAGCAACCTCTCACCAGCATAGACGAATTAATGTACTCCTATTCTGGAATCACCTCCGACCGGCGTCAATGCCGCGCGTCGTGATCGCCCAGCAGGTGTACTTAGATGGCACGTTAATATTTATCGACTTCGAAATCAAGTCGAGAACCACGCAAGAACCACAGTAACTAAAGTAAGCCCCTTTAATTTTTTTATTACTGATTACGTCCAACACCTACCTGTTCGTGGCTTTTATCGACCATCCCGATACAACTTCTCCATGTACCTACCATCTGGTGCAGGAGCGAGAGGCATCAGCTGGTTTATTTAATAATTCTGCCAATCGATCAAGTTGCTCCATCCGTGCTCGCTCCCCGGACCTTGCATTTGACTGATCAAAATACAGGTGAAGTATGTGGTTGCCGTTGGATCATTTGCAGCTTGTGATTCGACATGTGGAGCAGACTCCCTGGTGGCGATTTTGCCTCCGTCATTTCGATTGTCATACCTGGATCCCAATACAGAATAGTACCTTACCATTTCATTGCTTCGTGTGCCTCACTAGCAGGCAGCACGCTCAGGACTGCTCAGGATCGAGCTCATTCCTATATTGTTTATATTTCCATTCAAAGGTGGATTGAATTCGGTGAGCATAGCCAAGAGCTCGCTGTCCAAGTCACTGATGATGACGTCTTCTCTAGGGAAATCTAGTTTTGTCCATCCCCATTTCATCCATCCCGCAATTGATGCAACGGGGTGCGTTTCTCCTCTCTCATATGCACATGCCAGACTCGCCAACAGTCTGATGTACGATGATGGGCAAGTGATGGGATGATGCTGATAACATGATGTTCGCGATAGCCAGATGTGCACTCTGGGCCCGATATGCGCACTTCTCACCTGAGCGGATTCTGTCAAGATCTAGAATTAAGATTGGACGCCAGGCTCCGTTTGATTCTGGATCGGATGAGCATTGAGCATGAGGCCACAAGACAATGACGGCACCATCCTTCAACGGACCGAGATGTGTAGTGCAAAAAGCCGGATGACAGGTATGGAAATTCGGCGTACATCCGTCGAGAGCAGTGACAACGCTATCCTGAAGATCTTGATTTTTCTGGGCCGCAACTGAAGTGAACCGGTTTCGATCACCTTCCAGATCCAGGGACTTCCACTTCGTATATCGATCGCTTCTTCAAAAACTCTCTTCCCCGGCAGCCAGTATATAAGTACCTATAAGTACTGCCAGATACTCGCCACACCTTCCCGCTTTTCTCTTACTTAATTCTCCTATACCCACAATGTCCAATTTTCATCTGCGCCCAGTCTCGGAAACTTCCCCTTCGCCATCACCAACGGCGCCCACAACGCCGCCCGGTGACCGCAGTCCTCCATTCAAAGGCCCATCTTCATTGTATGTCTCACCACCACCACCTTCTTCGACGAACGGTCGGTCTCATCGTAGACCGTTATCGCCCAGTTCGCTCCGAGGTGAGTTATCTACTTCCCGAACTGGTCTTTCAAACCTTGACGCGTTAACCCCTGCATCAGATGTCGACTTAACACGTTCTTCTGACATGCCGCCCCGAAAGTATCCCGCGCCTCCAACAGGCCATGATCTCATGGCCATGTTTCCCCCTGCTCCACCTGATAGTTTTTCCGAAATGCGACCAGGTCCCACGAGTGGTTATTTTCAAAGACAGGAGCGCGCCTTCTTTGCCCAAGCGGGAAAGGAGATTGTGCGCGTCCGAGTTGAGGTCGATTTACCGGAAAACGAACCCCCGAAGTCGTCAAGGACAAGCTCCTCCCGCCCCTGGACAGGTCATTCTACGCCTGTCCCCCATCATTCTCCACCGCCTTCGTCATCCGCACCCTTGGGCTATTCTCATCCCACTTCTAGACCGTCCCAGCGAGGCCCTGTACCCGCAACCGCTGCACCCCTGTTCCCTGCGACACCCTCTCATGCACCGCCCTCCCAACACCCATCTGATCTCCATCCTCATCAAACAAATTCGGGCCTACGCACACCCCCTCAAGACTCCACACAACCAGGAGCTCCCACTTCAAAAACAGAACCTCAGCCTGACGAATATGATCCTGATGAGTCTTGGCGCCGGCCGATGCCTTACGCTGAACGAAGACGAGCTGGAAAGCACACTAAGCGCGTTATTGTTCGGACATGATGGCCCGGATAATTTTTCTTTCGAGTATCGCCTCCCCTGGATTGTAAACGGGCATATGCAACCATCGCAACTGTGCTGTGGTCATTTGGTCCACAGGCGCCCCTGATCTTCCATCCATCGCGGATCCTATTTTATTTCACCGTTCTTGCATTCCCATTTTCCATATCGCCCAGATCCGCGTCGCAGCTATTTCACCCCATCTTGTCTTCATATATACATACCATGCCCTTGACGACGCAACTTGACCAGCCAGCTACCTCATGTTCGCGATAATCTGCATTCTACCTACATTATTGCTATCGCATGCTTGTCCACACGATTCATCACCAACCAATGAAACTTTCGATCATATTTCATCCAGAACGATCGCGGTATGGCTTCACTTGAGTTTTCAGTCCATATCATGACGCACCACAAAATTTATTCCTGGCTCTTGCCCGATTTGATTAACCATCAGTTTGTGGTTTGACGCCCCGTCTCAATCAAGGATTGCACTGATCATGATCGATTTCGCGCGTCCTGGTGTGAGAAATTCGGTGCGGGGCATGCCGCCCTAGATCCGTTGGTTATTAGATACACTGCATACGCTTCCGTCTGTACCTCCAGTGATGAGTCCTGTCTTTGCGCCAGACTCGGGAATTATTCATGAAAATACTTTGGTCCTTTTTGTTGTGTATTCCATTCAATAAATTAACTCTTTTGACAAAACACGAGCTGGTCGGTTCGGGGAACGTTGGGACCTCCTAGGGACTTCGCATTGCATATGATATATGATTGTTGACCGATGGGGCGATAGAAATCTCGAAAGTACTTTCCCCCAAGGGGACAAAAGGGAGTATGTGGATCCAGTGCGGTCCTTATATGCCTATAAGGCAACACAGGTAACCGTAAGTCTATTCCGTTTCACTACATACACATGCGAAGAGTATATCGTGAGCTTGAGTCAGAGTCAACCTCATCAAAAAATCGAGTGGGATCACTGGGATGCAGCCAGGTGCATCGACGTGCACTGATGGCACAAGTTGATCCGTCGGTACCCCAGGCGTTCCTTGGAACGTCTGGAATTGAGCCAACAATCAATTGCGGAAACTGCAAGCCAGGAAGGACTGGACATGTATACGTACATACAGGACGTTTGACTGAGAAATCTGTTGGTGCTGATATAATGTGCGATTTAGATGCAATGGACACTGCGAAGCCCTAGCATGATGGCATGTGCTCTCGCGGCGTCGCTCTAATAGCCGACAAGGTAATCATCCTGATTCACTTGTTCCTCCTGAAGGGGAAAGTAAGCAGATGAAAGGATCGGAGGTTATAAATGATAGAATTAGGCTGGGACCTGCCGAGGAGTAATCAGAAATGAGGCTCGTCAACGAAAGTGCTTCTGATTCAGCTGGACTTGACACGCAGCGGGAGTGCGGATATCCTGTGGAACTGAAATGTTGATTTTCGACATTTGATTGCTAGATTATTCATTCATAGATGGGAGTTGAACTGGAGACAGGACCTGCCCAAGCCCGATTTGGTTCACATTCACAATGAGGCTGCGCAAGTCACCGGCAGGAAGAGCTTGCGAGTCTACGTAAACAGCGGAGGATATTTCACGATCCGGTATGTTGATGCGAGTTGCGGGGCACTCGGCGGTCGTAGTTACTTCTCCAAAAGTTGGTAGTTGACGTATGCAACTAAGGGAAGCGGGCGTAAATCCGAGCAGGGTAGAAATCAGTTTCCAAGCCTTCAGATTGACATGTTGCGTAGTTGAAGGCAACTTGAAAGTGTGCACATGATGAGGTCGTTGAACCCGGCCCCGCCAGAGACGGGTGAAGGCGTCAATCCTGCAAATTGTCGGGGAACCTTCGAACAATTGGTTAGACGGCCCGAAATCCTATAGTACCTACGTATGCGGCACAAGAAAGACGCTGGAGGAGATTGATCAGAATTTCAGTCTGATCGTTGCAGACGCGAGCGTTCCATTATTGAGAAGGGTGAACATATAGGCTAAGAAGCAGAGAATGACTTACACTTGAGGCAGGGTCCAACAAGAGGACTCAGATCCAGCGATGACGGACGTCAGATCTGTCACGAGAGTTTGACAGCGGCCGTTTCCGAGGCACGGCATTTCAGCGGCATTAGTACTCAGAACAAACTCCGCTAGACGTCCAAATGTAAACACTACGCGAACATTAAATTTGAGTAAGTACTAAGATATAGAACAATTTGTATTTAGAATTCAATAAAAAGTGTCCATCTGCTGTTGATAAGGATGGGAGATAGGTGTTTCCAAGGCAAATGGTAACAGATGGATTCTGCATTGGTTGAGTGTAATGACGAGGCCGTCGAGGAGAATCACCATGCAAATCACGAACCGTTGGCAAGCGATTCATGTGGCGAGCATCGTGGGTCAATTGTGCAATGGAAGCGTTACCAATGCGATCCTCGGGTACATCCAATCTTTCCTCCTCTTCAGGAAAAATATGAATTTTGCTGGAAAACTTCTTGTAATCCGCTCGCCGTTCCCATGAAGCATGCCGTTCTTGAAGATGCGGTATATATTGTACTTCCAGTGAGTTTCGGAACAAAAATCACATTTGTTGACTTAATGAGGGTGGGGAAGGACGCATCTCGTTTAGGAGACGCGACATGTCAAAGATAAATGAGGTGGTGACTGTTAACTGCATCAATGTTGCCGACTTGCCGAATTGTGGCCAACACTCCGGTTGTTGCACGGCTATGTGTAACCGGTGGCTGTACCCCCCCCCCCCCCCCCCCCCCACCCGTGGGACTCAACGTACAGGATCGGTGGATCTGAGTCCTCTTGGGGTCCAATGTGTGATCTAGGCAAAGGTACCTCCATAATGGGTGACTTTCCGTAACACAAATTCTCTAGATTTGAATAAATCGACGAAATCTAGGGTCCTTTGCCGGGATGCCGAGTCTTGTAAGGGTTCAACTTTGATGGAGTCCCTGGTTGGAACCCAGTTACAAACCTTAATCTATTCAGAGGGTACAGACCCCTCGAACAGATTTCAAACGCTGGAATCAACCCTGCCAAGGGGACACCTTTCCTTCCTGGGTACGATTCCTTCCCACATGGCTTAGTCAGCTCTACCTCATCCCCTACTACTCTCCTACGGCTGGGGCATTCTGCTCCCTCTCGTTGCAGTTCAAAGTAGTGTTTGAAAGTCCGGTTAGGTTAGGTTATTGGGTGCCCAGGGGCTCTAACCGAGACCGAGACCGGTTAGGGTTCGTTCCCAGACCCAAAATAACCTAACTGGACCGAAGATAACCGATGAAAACCGGTTAGTTGCAGTTACTAACCGGTTAGGACCGAAAAAATAGAAAATCGATTAAAACGGCGTATATTTCTCATATTCCTTGCAGTAAACATTATTGCCATGCGTCGTAGCTTTAAAACAAGCCCAAGAACGCTAAATTCGGTGAAGAATTGACAATTTTATAATAATATTCTTGAAAGCCTACTATTTTAGCCAATAATTTAGAGATTTGACCATAACTCTGTCAGATTTTTAGCATTTCTCATGCTTTTAGATGCGTTTTGAAGGGGTAAAATAGGGTCGGTTGTAATCGGTCATAACCGGTTTTTTAACGGTTAGTTAACCGCAAAATAACCGGTTATTTCATTTCCAGAATTGACTAACCACTAACCACGGTCCGGTTTTTTCGCGGTTAGGTCCGGTCTGGTCTCGGTTATTTTCCAGTTAATTAACCTAACTTCCAAGCACTAGTTCAAAGCCACTACAGAGTCTATTAGAAGTGTCAATGTCTTATGGCTACAAAATCTCCTCCTGGAAACTGTTGCTCCCTTTACAAACACCCTTCTTGACATCTAACTCACTGATCTACAGCCATGTTCAGCTCAACTTGGGCTTCACCCAGAGTGTGGTCTAATTTTACAGTGGGGTGGATGAACAATCAGTATAATAAACCCATCCACAGGCCTACACGACCTCAGAGCAGCTCAGATGGGAGGGAAGTGAGTTTGTACAAGGCAAGCAAATACATCAAATAGAATCTAATCAGTTGGCGTTACAGTTTATTCACTCCAATAAACTCTCCTGTGAAGTTCTCGTTTCAAACTCCGATAAGGGTCAAATTTATTCATTTTTATAGATTTGAGTTACGGAAAGTCACCCAATTGTCGACACTTGTTGAATAATAAAGCTGATGTGCATCCCGAAAATATTGATTATCAAAATCTCAAATTGATGAACAATAAGAACATTGAGCACATCGAGTGGTCATTTCCGTTATTTTATTCTTCAACATAATCTTCAGCTGAGTGGTGTTGCCATGGCTACCAAGGTTATTTCCCAAAGAAATTGTTTAGATATGTAAATTGAATGTGCTCAACATTGGATAACTTCCCATAAGGTCTAGAAACCTAGACTATTCTCTAAATGTTTGATGGGTGGAGCTCAAAAATATATTCAGTCATTTTTCTAAACCATAAGCCAAGCAACACAAATCTGTACAATTCTTCTTTGGTGACGCGGATCTCATTTAAGATCTCTCTACTCAACCTCATTCCGTGCCCACTGCGCCTCCAGCCTCAATTGATACAGAATTCAGTGAGGAGAACTGACCAATAACATGAAGACAAGCTGTACTTACATGCAATCAGATGCCTGGGTGTGTGGTTTGAAGGAGAGCTGCATACATCGTCAACATGATGAAAAAAACTGTCCTACAAAACCCGGTTCAAATGAAAAATGACTTGTCTGTCTTCCACTGTTGACTCCCTATTGTTTCTCGAGAAATACAAGAAAGATGTAGTGAATAGTTCTTCAGGAGACCAGCTACATAGGTTGGTGCATCTTGATAGATCTTGATGCCTTGCTTGATTTGGATGGGATGCTCAGGGATTGATTGTCGGACAATGAAAAAAGGGTTTATGCAAGCGATTTAGAACTAGAAGAGGGGGGGGGGAGGCCTCGTCTAGATTAAAATCTAGAAGAGGGTGTTCGATGACAAGCGGAGTTCAACTTTGACAGATTGTGACCCATTTGGCAAACGGCATGGCGGCACGTCAGTTTAGAAAAATAATCTAGGTTTCTAAACCTTATGGGAAGTTATCCATTCTTATTGTTCTTCATTTTGTAATTTTGACAATTGATGTTTTCCGGATGCACACCAGCTTCTTTATTTTACAAATGGCCACAATTATGGAGGTACATATGTCCAAATTTGTCCTGAATATTCTTTGGACCCTGTCTCAAGTGTTAGTTTTGTTCAGGAAATTAGTGTAGTGGTAATTTTCAATTCCCGCTCGCAAAACTCCGACTCGGCTGTAACTTCAAATCTTCGGTGAGCGAGCTCATGATCACACTCTCAATCCTATGATCTATCAAAAAAGAAAAAAAGCTGTTGAGCTTTACTGCAATTGCGGTACTTGCTGTGGTCGGTCTTATTTCATCTGTACTCGTAATTTATTATCGGAATTTACCTATTGCACTGCTTTGCTGACTTGACCCACGTGCACTCTTCATCCCGAATGCTCGACTTTATCGCGTTTACCTTAACCCCACCAGACGAACCCCTACAGATACTTCAAGAATTCCTCCATGGTCGACCGGAAACTAGATGAGAATATTTCGCAGTTCTGTGCGGTGACAGGGGCGTCGTGAGTGGCTCACCTTATCTAGGGCCTTCATGATCTTTACTGATCACAGGACTGATCAGCGCGAGAGATGCCAGAAAGTTCTTAGAGGCCCACAAACGAGTAGACGTAGCCATCGACGCCTACTACAACGATCCAAATGCCTTTAGCACTCCCACGAAGCAGAAAGCGAGAGACACAGGCCCACCATCAACGGGTAAACTGAGCACGCTGTTCGATAAATACAAGGGTATGAATACATTGGTTAAACTTATACTCAAACTAATCGCCCCGTAGACCCAGATAGCAAAGAGATTACCGTTGACGGAACCATCAGGCTTTGTGAGGATCTCGCGGTCAACCCCGAGGACGTTGTACTGCTTGCGATTGCGTACGAGCTCAAGTCACCGAGAGTTGGGGAATGGACAAAGCAAGGATGGACAGAGGGGTGGAAGAACCTTGGGTACGTGTTCTTTATCCTCACCGGGCCCTTCGTACACCTCAATCTGGTGTCTTCTTCCAATCAGATGTGATTCGATACCCAGCATGAAGACCACTTTGGTGCAGCTGCGAGACCAGCTCGGACGAGAACCAGACTATTTCCAAAAGGTGTACAATCACACATTTGAGTTTGCGCGGAGCGATGGGCAACGAAGCCTTGGTATGAATATATTTATTTAGCAACGAGGTTCTCAGAATTAACTGTGATTGATTTGTGCAGGCATCGAGACTGCCCAGGCTTTTTGGGGTCTTCTTCTTCCGCATGGGCTTCATGGTGGGGCGTTGGCCCGCGTCGACACCGACGGTGACGTCAGGATGGACAATAAAAGTGATGGGTGGAAGGAAGAGTATACGACATGGTGGTTCGATTTCTTGAACGAAAAGGGCGGCAAAGGCGTCAGCAAAGATACTTGGGTCATGGTTCGTGTTCTAATATTTCATTCAATTGGCTTCCTTCTACGATGCTCCGCGTAACCCCCTTCCGACTAACACTTCTGCATCATTTCCCCAGTTCCTCGACTTCATCCGCTCGATTGATTGCAAATTTACTGAGTATGACACAGAGGGTGCGTTCTTTGCTTACATTACTGGTCAGTGCTAACCGGGATATCGACATTGCTCATCTAGGATCGTGGCCATCGACGATAGATGATTTTGTAGAGTATGCGCGGAAGCGCCTTGCTTCGGGGGTATGAATGCCGGGACTTCGCCAACGTGTCATAGATATTCTTGTATCACCTTAATCGCTTCAGATGTCTGTTAATTGGAATCGCAAGATAGGAATGATTCGTATGGAAAGAAAGATCCCACAAATTACTTACAGTCGTTTTGTTTGGCGTAGATCTAGAGCGCCCAGCGCAAGTTACCTTCCATTCATGAAGGACGAAGTGCGCCTTCTTCAAGAGCTTCAAGCGATTTACAAACCTGGCTCTTGTAACATGTAACCGCAGAGCCAATTTATATATATGAATTCCTAATCCTCAAACTTGCATTTTGAGGCTGTTGTCGAACCTTCGCTAGAATTCGAAGTCGAGATACGTATGGACATATAACTCTTCGGTGCACATCCCTCTTGAATACATAATTCACGACCACAAACCTTCATATTTTGACAGAATGGCTTACTGTCCGCGCGAATTGAAGCACCGGCCTTGAGCAACGACTTGTTGGGCGGGAACAAATCACTGCAGACTTTTCAGATTTTTTTTCGCCAGTGAGGATAGTATATTTTAGCGCATCTAGCTGGCACATGTCCCTCAAGGAGCATGAATCGAGATTCCCATAATTATGCTATGCACGTAGGATCCTACTGCAGCCAGGCTTGTCATGTAGGGAACGAACGGTTTTGAATGCACGCGTGTGGCTGGAAAGTCTTCTGAAGGAGTCCAGAACGTAAAAGCCGGCAATTGTTTGGTGGATCAGTGTCGAATATCGACGAGCCACTGTTATTCACATGAAGTGCACATAAGGATTGCCGATAGTTGATCGGAAGAGAGTTGGATGGCAGCCTCGTTCTCGGCCTCTTTTTCTGACTTGACGCTCCCGTGATGAGGCGTAGATTCACCTCGAGCTGTTATTGGCTTTCCTAAAATGTTGTATATGAGGACGCCACATTTGATCGGCTGAGATCGCGGTGGCTCAGACCAAGGTTATACGAGGGATAAGTTAACGGAGATTGAGGGTGGTCCGGCGGCAGGGCTAACACTTCATCGCGATTCAAGCAGTGTGGCCTCCCAGACACCCCAAATATATAGTTTGACAGCACCAGGAAGATACCAACACTACGGCGAGCTTGTCAGCCACTTGACACGGGGGGAGGGGGGTCCTACGGAAGGCCGTGGCAGGGCGTCTCCATTGGACCTCTATCCATCGGAATTCCGCCGGGACAGCAGAGTGGACGTCGGCCAGCTTCGCTTGTCAGATGCTCCCTAAATTTACTCTCAGCACCAACCATACTCAAGGAAAAGAGAAAGCTCTGTAATGGCGCTTCACGGCGGCGAAAGGAGATTGCGGCAAGGTCGGTGGTTGAGCATGTCAGCCTCCTTGACGAAATCACAGAAAGTAGGCTCATCCGTTAATTCCGGGAGGGCAGACGGCAGCGTCGGGTGATAGGCCTCCTGGCCGAGCGTGAGACCAGCAGTGGGGCGATCGTATTGAGAACATCGGGAGACAAGGTGACAAGGGTAGCATGCTTGTAAAAGGTTACAAAAAAGTCGCACCTGCCACGGCCCGGGTCTGGCGCGAGTTGTCTGTGAGACGAATTAGCACTCGTCGTAAATCCTCCCCCACAGATAAGAGGACTAAGCGACGGGAAAGAAGCTGACCCGTGTACAAGGTTGATTTCCAAGGTCTGGGGGAAGGTTTCTGAGGAGCACATCCAAATCCATGAGGCCTGTCGCGGTTATCAAGTTATCGAGGTCAGGGCTTTTCCCACGATGTTTGTCCATTGACAGCGCATATTTTGCGATTAGGTCGGTGTTGAGGACCACATATTCATGAAGCGGTGTTGTCGATAGGGTTGGCCAAAAGGGACATTCGTACCGCTCAGTCTCGGGTTTTTTCATCGGCGCTTCAATGAGACCATCGACTTCGAGATTCCAAAAATTGGCGCTGGGTTGTTTTAACACTTTGGAAGGGACACAGTCGCCGCTTGCGTTCAACTTTTACAGTCTTTCGGATAAAAAACATTTCCAAATGTCCTGCTATACATGTAGCTCTTACACTTACATCATAAGGGTGGCGGAGCTCCCAGGCTTTTCTTGAATACAGGCCCGGTTGGACGCAGGAGATATCAGCGGTGTCGGCTTGTCATGCTTTGCAGCAAGGTTCCCATCATCCGTCTCCCTGAACCGTCAAAGCCAGTGGCTGCCAGTGGACAGGTGAAAGATCGACGGACAGCATAATCTGGCGCCTGCTTTGGAGCTAGGTAGTTTTGGGTACTGACTGGTCACTTGAGGCCGGTAGTCAATATCATCACTTCGCAGAGCCACCGATTGGCACAAGCACACCTGGATAGTCTTCTCAACGCACTTGGAATCCTCGTTAAGGCAGGAAAACAGAATGTGGACATAAAAGCCTAACCAGAGTCACGTCGCATTCAACCGAGCCCCATCCGGGCTGCTCTTTGAAGTGCATCGAGTCCTGGCATGATCCTGAGGCTATTGACAGGGTCAACGAAAAAAAAGAAACACATCCCGAACAAGAGGCCCGTCAGACCTCCAGAGTCCAGATAGCACCGCAGTTGACAGAAAAAGAAACTGAACCCAAACTGAACCAATGTCTACACATACTCATCGAGGGTAAACCGGTGACAACTTGAACAGCGACACGTAAACGCGTCGCAGAAACAGCTCTGCCACTATGTATAACACCAGGTTTGAGAAGCCAGGGTTGCCACGGCCGGAATTTTGGGACGTTTTGAACATGAGCCAGCTGTGCCAACTCCCTCCATTAGTTTACAGCTAAATGCAAAACCCTAGACACCTCCCGAAAATTTCTGGTGTCTGCCTCGCTTTGTGCAAACAACCGCATTTGACTCAAGTTTAGCTCAATTGGATCGTGGAGCACTCCATTACATGACATATACCTGCGTTGGTGGAGGACTTGCGTCATTCGTGGCCACTTCCTTCCTCAAATGGTTGTTTGCACAAAGCGAGGCGGAGTCAAGAAATTTCTGCAAGGTGTCTAGGGTTTTGCATTCAGCTGTAATATCCACATTTAAAATCACTAAACGGTTACCTTACAATGAGCTATTTTCTTTTTTGCGATGTGGTGGTGGCATTTTGGTGAACGTTGGTTACAGCCATGTGCGGAACATAGGGCGCGGCATGATTATTTTTTTTTCGCCAAATAAACAAACGGATTTATGTAGTTGTGAAGTATTGTCTATGTAGCACGCTCAAAAGTGGTCCATTCAGCTTGAAATTAGATTCATTCGACGCCGATTTCAAATCTGCACACGTCGATGTACCCATGTTCCATCGACCGCAAGAAATAATCACTGTATCGTCGGAAACGATCATCTGCGACGTTCGATACACAGCATCCACAACTCAACGTTCCCCCTCCGCCCGTTGCGTCTTTTGGGCAGCTCAGACCTTCAGGTCAAGTTTCCGGAGGAGGGGGAATTATTGTAAGCTTATTGGTGCTTTATCCTGCTTGATCAATGTTTCTGGAAGGCCGGACGTGGCCCGTCCCATTCATGCCCTGCAACCCGTGACATGATTTCGGTGGATTGAAGGGGGCGGCAGCTTGACGAATGTATATAAAGGTCAACAGGCAGACAGGGCGGACAAGAATTGAGGCTGGAGGCTGCCACGTCAACGTCGTTCTTGCAGTCTTGTCATGTACATAATTACACATTCATTCTCTCCTCGCAGTGGAAATTTATATACTCTCAGATGCAGATTCAAAATCTGCGTCGAATGGTTCTATTTTCAAGCTGAATGGACCACTTTTGAGCATGCTACATAGACAATACTTTACAACTACATAAATCCGTTTGTTTATTTGGCGAAAAAAAAAAAATCATGCCGCGCCCTATGTTCTGCACATGGCTGTAAATGAAGTTCAACTGTTCAAGTCACGCCTGCCAGTGTTTGTTACGTGCGCTTGCTAGTTCAATAAACACACACACTCAAATGAGTTGTCCACTCTTGCTATTTCGTCCAATAAGTAGTGCTGAAGGTAGCTTCCTAGACTCTGGATGAATCGTGGCCAAGCGCAAATGCACGCTCAAAATTTTTGGGGGCTCAGGCTCATGACTCGTGCTCTACTGGGTTGGCTTCAATGCCTCTCCTCCTGTCGCTTCAAATTCCTCCGCTCGCCGCGACGCACAAACTTCATCCGAGACGACCAGGTTTCAACCACACCAATTTGAATGGGGTTAAGAATCGACATATAAACCACTCTCGGGTTTTCTATTGAGTGCAACATATACATTCAGTCCCTCCTCCGCATCAATTGTTTGTGAGGTCATCGCAAGGTCATCGGTTTCAGCAGTTACTCCGTGGATATATATTATGGGTCCCAATGTCCATTGAATGTTCCTTCGCTTTTTCAAATGGCTCTTCCCGCTACAACTCATGAATATATCATTCCCAAGGTGTGCAGCCAATGTGCAACGACTATCACAACCTATTCTCAAAATTCACTCCCCATTTTAGGTTGGCTCTTACAACAATTTGAAGCTGCAAGAGAGGCCAACGCCGCAGCCACGCCCCGGCGAAGTTTTGGTCAGAGTGCATGCTGTTTCGCTCCAGGTAACTCACCTTTCAACATCCCGAGCCTGTAAGGTCGACGGAATTATCACAGTACCGGGATCTTTTAGTTTCCAATGGGCATTACCCTGTTGGGTATGTCATGTCCCCTATGCATTTTTTCTTACTCTCATTACTTCCAGCCGTACAGAAAACATTGTTCCATGCTCCGATATGGCTGGCGAAATTGTCGCCCTTGGGTCGGATGTCAAAGGATGGAAGCATGGCGACCGGGTTTGCGCTAATTTCGCCTTTGAACATATTCACGGGGATACCAACGAGGAAATTTTGAGATCAGCTCATGGTGGCCAAGCTGATGGGGTTTTGACGGAATACAAAACATTCCCTGCATACGTGAGTTCGCACAGTCATCTCTCCTGTAAGTTTTTGAGCCTGTTGTTTGACATAGTCACTCGTTGGCATTCCCGATCATCTATCCTATGAAGAAAGCTCTACGCTCCCGTACGGTGGTCCAATGCCATGCTTGCCCTCCTGATTGTTAATTTGTCTACTCCAGTTGCGCTGGCTTAACGGCTTACAATGCTTTGAATGGACCTAAGCCAATCAAATCTGGTGATTTTGTTCTCGTTCTCGGCACTGGTGGTGTTTCGTTGTCAGTTCGACCCTTTGTCAATGTTGTAATCCCTCACTTTCCCCTCACCTAGCTTTGCATTGCAGTTCGCCATTGCAGCTGGTGCGATCGTCATTGCAACATCCTCCTCGGACGAGAAGTTGAAGCTCGCTGCTAAGCACGGAGCCAAACATACCATCAACTACAGAACGACTCCGAATTGGGATGATGAAGTTTTGAAGATTGTAGGCTCTAGTTAACACTTTCTTGCCTCTTTCCTTGTTCCAACCTTTGTTGTTTGTCAGACGAAGGGGGTCGGCGTTGACCATGTAGTCGAAGTATGTGTGACTTGCAAATGCTTTGGCAGACCATTGTCTTACCCCGTTTCTAGGTTGGCGGAAAGGGGACTCTGCCACGCTCAATTAATGCAGCTCGATATGGTGGCATAGTGCATTTAATTGGTTTCGTCTCCAAGGTAGGTAATAACCTCATCAGTGCCTGCGTGCACTCACTCCTCCCCTCAGGACGACACCGATTTTGACCTGGTCAAACTAATCATTGTTAAATCTGTCGTGCTTCGGGGTATCATGGTTGGCTCCGTCACACAGTAAGTGCTTATGAGTTCGACTTCATGGTATTCATCTCTCATGGCCACAGGTTCAAAGATATGATTCGCGCAATGGAGGCGAACCCAGCAGTGACCAGACCCGTCATTCACAAACATTTTAAGTTCGAAGACGCAATCAAGGCTTATGCCTACCTTGAGTCGCAAGCGCACACAGGAAAAGTTGTGATCCGGGTATTAAAACACTAAGTTGGGCGCTGCATAATCATCCAAAGACGATGATAGGGTTCGGAACTCAACAAAATTACATGCTACATTATTGTATGGCACTGGTTTGAGAACTACTTTGGTATACATAGTATGATCTTTTAAAGCAGCCTGGGGAAGTGCGATGTTGCATTGTGGAAAGAGAGCCAAGACTTGAGTTCGAGGATGCTTACTGCCTCACCTTGGTTCAGATGCTGCACGTTGCCAGCGCTCCACACGACCTCCACCACTTCCTCTCACACTCGAAAAGCTCCGTAACCACGAAAAACTTACTCTAGAAATGGATTCTACGGCCGTGAACACGAATGTAACCATCGACGACTTCGACAGCGTCCTCGCGTACGACGATCAGGCCGTTTGGGTTACTCCCGACCCGTCGAGCCCAACCTTTAATGCTTCGGCCTCTCCATGGATGAGGGGAACGTACCATCAAACGGAAACGAAGGCCGCTTCGTTGTCGTTCAATTTCACGGGTAGGTGCTCGTTGCCATTGTTGTACTTTGCAGTCAACTAACGGAGAACAACAGGGCCAGCCATCTATATCTATGGGCTTTTAGGTCCAGGGCAAGGTTCATTCGAAGTAGACATTGACTCAGTGGCTTCAACGCATAGCGCATACCAGACTGTCAACGCGACGTCTTCGTCGCTGCTGTACTTTGTTTCAAACCTGACTTTCGCAAACCACAATCTCGTCCTCCGTAACCTTGGAGCCGTCTCTAGCAACGGGGATAAAGGCGGGAACGCGTTTTTGCTGGACTATATCAGCACGACGATTCAGTTGGCGCCTGCAGGGTGTGTTAGCGTTCAAGTTACTTGTCTCGTGTTCTCTAATCGACTTCAAGAGCCACTGTGCAAAACAAAACGTATCAAGAAGATGACCCTGCTGTCACTTACACAGGAACGTGGGGACACAATACCAGTCCCGCCTTCAGTGGCGGGGGGACGTCGTATACAAACGCGGACCAAGCAAGCGCTTCGCTTTCCTTCTATGGTTCTGCCGTTTATGTTATGGGCGACAAGAAGGACGATCATGGAATCTACAGTGTCCAGCTCGACAGCAATAGCCCATTATTCTATGACGGAGTCTCTGGTTGTGGTGGCGCCTTCGGGTTGACATGCGAACAGCAAGTTCCAACGTTGAAATTCCTCGCCTCGAATTTGGACAGCTCACAGCATACTCTCAAGGTTACGAACTTTGCGGGAGTCAATCAGTCGTATTTTGGTCCGTCATTTCTTCGTTCCTTCTGGCGAGGAACTGACCTGGTTGGCAGATCTTGACAGCATCGTGGTCGCGATCCCCTCCGTCTATGCACCCCGGCAACTGTCCAACTCGTCGTCACCGTTTGTCAATGGCACTACCGGATCTACTACCCCTTCCCATACTGCGTCTGTGTCCTCGTCCTCAGGAGGAGCCGCCAAGTCATCTGCTGCAGCTCCTGCGATCTCAAACCCACTCCTCCTTTTGGTCTTCACAATGCTTTTGGCCTACCGTAACTTCCGCCGCTGAGCTGCATCTCTCCCCATTACTCATGGACGATAAAATTTGTGACCTCAACGAATACCGTGACCTAACTATAGGTTATACCTTACCGGAATTCATCACGCATTTAGAATTTAAAAATGTAGTACGCGGTCAAAAAACTGCCATTCAAACTCGTTTGTCAAGTCAAAAACTAAGGACTACAGCCTCAGATGTGCATAAATGTGCATAAGGGATAAGGATAGAAGTGTTTTGTACATAGGAATATAGGGCGGTATGGGGAGGTACACACACATACAGAGATGTCTAGACGCCAACAAACCCGAAACAAGGAGTGGATTACACGAAGGAAGGTCGTTGCTTGAAGCCGGAGTTGAAGTCGAAGTCGAAGAAGTTTGAAGAGGCGACCAATGCGACCCGAGGTCTAAACGGAAAGAAGGAAGAGAAGGGATAAAAAGGGGGACCGCCTTGACTCATGACAGTAAGCGCAGCTTCCGTTTGGTGAGAACAGTCCCAGGCAGTGTATACACATTGGCGCGCCATCCTCCGCCACAAGTCTCCGCTGCGTTGCCTAACACGAAACAACTAAGATTCAGCTGCCTAGCAAAAAAACAGGAGAAGCAACGTACCATCGCAAGGCATATTACAATCAGTGGAAGCGGCTTTAACGCCCGCCCCGTTGGTAGTGAACATCTGCGCTCCACAGTAACACTGTGTGCCATACTCAAGCGCTGCAATTCTGTATTTCTGCTTGAAACAGAGTCCAGTGCACTTTTCAACAGTCATGCCAGCTTGAGTGGTCGATGAACCGCGAAGCATGCGATCAGCACTGTCGACGTAACATCCCGCGCTGGTCCAAGTGGTTGTGGCGAATGTGTTTGCTGGTGCGGAGGCAGTAGTTGACGTCGTAGGTGATGTCGTCGTTGTTGTTGTTGCTCCACCGCCTCCACCGCCGCCGCCGGTCGCGGCTAACGTCGGTCCAATGATCAGTATGTGATTCCACTGACAAGAGCAAATACTCACTCGCAGAACCAACATAAGCGTTGTAGTTGTCTGTTCACCGTCAAACCCATCAGTAAGTTCAAACAGACACAGGTTTCTCGCCTTACATTGGGTGGGGTTAGAAATGATGTTCAAGTTAGTATCCGTCTTGCTGATTATCGTTTGCCCTCCCCTGACCATGGTAACGGTAATCTGCCCTGTTGTCATGGGCAGTTGGAGCTTGTTGACTCCAGCAGTGACGCTGAACGTCTGGGAATTGCCTCCGACTTGCAAAGTAACGGTGGCGGGAGCCGTAGCGAACACTGCCGCCCAAACAAAGTCCTAATCATCGCCATCTAAGTGTGGATTACAAAATAAACCGAAAAGATTACTTGCCAAAGACCAATCCCATCCGCTAGGTTTGCCAAATTGGTCTGCAGAGGCGGTAGCTCCCTTAGGATGAGGGCGGGACCAGTAGTAAATAACGTCTTGCTGCAAGGGGGCCCATGTTAGCAAGATAAAAATTGTACGTGTGGAGGAAGACGATACGTACAGTAATAGCGGGGTAGCTGCCAGTTTTGAAGGCCTGAATGTAGTAGGCTGACATGTCGAACCATGCAGTGTGGGGATAGTTGGCTGCCCAGTATGTTGAAGCCGGCGGAGCTCCCTTAAGCGGACCGAAGCTGAAGAGAGTGATCAGAGACACTTCCTGCCGACAAGAAAATATTTACTAATCGGATTCTCCGTAATCGTTCCTACAGCAATCAATTAGAGACGAACATTATGAATTTAGTTATGGAGACTCACCAAGTTACCATCTCAACAAAGGTGAGCTGGTTTCTCATACCGACAATCTGCTCCCAGCGGTTGTTGATAAGCCAATCATCTCCTCGCTGGTAGAAATTCTTGCCCGCGTCATGAGCGCTGTGTGGTGATTTCTTAGTGCGTGTTCATCGATTATTACTTGGTTAAAAAACGCACAACATCCAGCCGCTGACGGTGGTAGCATATCTGGTGCCGAGCTGGTTTATATCTAGATGGTAGTTCAAGGTCAAAAAACAGGTAAGGGGATGAAGAATCGAGAAGATACAAACAGTACTGGTCGTCGGCGGACTGGAAAAAGAGATCAGTCCATCTGTGCGCGGTCATCATAGGAAAAAAAAACTTACAGTTTTATCGTAGTTGCCTTCTGGCCAAGCACAGCCCCAGCTATAAAAGAATTAACCGGCAAATTCAATCATGACGTCGTGTACACTCACCAATACCACGAATCCAACGCCGGCCAATTGTTAAAATTGCCTTCTAGACCCCAGATAAAAGGCATAACATAACCATTGGTCATGGCTTTCAAATTAGCCCAGCCAGCATTTCCCAGGCAATCTCCAGAAAAGCTGGAGATGAAGGGTTTGCCGTTGATCTTGAACTGGTTGGGATGGTTCGCATATTGGTTGACCCAGTTGGCAACGCTGTTGACGTCACATGCGATCTCTGTAAAATCGAAAGAAATGAAGAGCTTGAAATTGGTCCCAACGGCCGCAGCGTAAGCAGAGGCAACTTGGGCAGGTTGCCAGCTGTCAAAGCCGATGTTCAGAGCAAGGGCGTCACTGGAAGGACCTGATTATGCGGTACATAATTGAGGGGGAGGGCAAGACGTACACGCCTTTGGATGAGATTTTTTGGATGTCATCAGCCCAGTCGGCTTGGGTATAAGGGTATCTTGATGGGAAAAAAATTAATATGCCGAAGAAAAGAGTGAGTTTGAAAGTAGCGTACGTGTCTTTTTTAACGAAAAACGATGTGATGGGGATTATGATGGACCAGGCGGGAAGAGGAATGAGCGGGATCACGGGGAAAAAAGGCTGTACGCACTGCCAACGATCTATAGGCAATTGCTTGAGAAATCGGCACAATATAGGAGTAAGGTTGGGGCGCTTACATGATGCATGAACACGTATTTTGTTCCATCCCGCTTTACCAACTCCGCGGGATCGTCACCGACCAGGAGAGTCCTATTGCTGAGGTTACTTGCGACGCGTTTATGCTTGAGGACAACATCCGAATTTAACGAGCGATGCGAATTGAGCGCAACAGAGGGAGAAATAGACAGGGCTAGAGAAAACAAGGGGAGGAGAGGCAGAAGGGCGAACATGATAGATAAGAAAAGACTGTGTGCGGCGAGAGTGCCGCGGTGTAGGTGAATAAAGAGTGTGCTGCCTGGAAGGCGGGCGCTTCGAGGCGAATCCTCGAACGAAACAGAGAAGGGAAGCTTGTGGTGACGGTGGCTGGGTACAAGGGCTAGAAAGAGAACTTTCAACAAACCCAATGGGATTTATAGAAATGTCTAACGGGCGGCGGATGTTCAAATCGAGCTATTTGCCCAGCTTTTCCCTGGACAGCAAATTTGATAAGTAGCGATCCTCGATCAATGCCAGTGCCTCTGCGGGAAATTCGGAATTCGCCAGGAAATCGATGCTGAGGCGCAGGATAATCGGAGAAAACACAGGAAACAAGCCCTTCGCAATCCAAAGTTCGTTTTGGAGTTGGGGGGAGGAAGGAAAGCCAAGAGTCAGGTTCAAGTTGAAAAAAGAGCGCCCTGCGCCGCCCTCGTCATGAACCTTCATGAACGTGTCCAAAATGAAAGTCGTTGCCAAGGCATCATCATTCCGATAAAGATTGCGTTAGCTAAGCACCAGGCACCATCCTATTTTGGGAATGATGCAACCAAGTTGAGCCTAAGTATTGCCTAAGTAGGCGACCATTGTGCTGATCGTAATTGCCGCAAAACGGTGGTCGCGAAGAGGAAACAAGAATTTACTTCCGTCGTCCATTCGTAGACATCCTTCAAGCCTATCGCGAGAAGCTGGTGCTAGCCAAGAGCTCATGACTCAGTTTGAGCTTGGTTTGAGCAATGTTTATGACAAGAGGGATGATGGGGGCTTGATAGGGACGGCTGTATCGGTACGAAATTCGCAGATACACTGCAGGTTTGGAAATTGCTTCCGGTCGTCACCGTTGAGCGCCAAAATAAAAAACCATGAATAAAAGGCAACACCCATGCGGTCCTCCGAGAACTCCATGGAAAAAGTTGAAGCCTTACGAAAGAAGGGTGTCGAACAGACATCGATGATCGAAGGAAGGTAAAAAGGTCGACGACGGTGATACATAGCACCAAATAAGCTTGAACAAATAAACAAGCAAGATAAGATGATGATATGTTCCAAGGTAAGTATGTAAGGGGCAGGATAAATATCCAAAAACTTGTTCATTTTTTGTTCCTCGTACGGGTGCTTTCGAGTGACATTCGGGGAAAAAAATCAGTGAGATGTGGTTTGATCCAGAGTTGTAGATTTAACAACCCAATGCAGACCCTAACCCCAATTCCTTATCTTCAATCTCAACACTGACAAAATCTGACTCTTCCATCCATCTCTTACGCTTCCCTTCATTTACTTATTTCTGACTTATTCCTCCCAAAAAATGGCTGAAGCGACGCCCATAGAAGAGTCTATCGTCATCGACTCCGCGCCAACCACAGAACCCACAGCGGAAAGCAGTGAGGCACCAAAAATGGACGACGGAAAGCTCATGGAGCAAATGACCAAGGCAGCTAAGCAGAGTAAATCTTATATCTCATATTTTGCGTGGCGCGTACGTTGACTATTGACGTGCTAGTTGAGTTCTACTTTGCCGATTCCAACCTTCCATATGACAAGTACGTCTGCTATACATACCCTTTTTTTTCGGCTCACCGTTTTGTTCGTTCAGGTTCATGTGGACATTATACACAAAAGACCCAGACCACTGGGTTCCAGTGCACACCGTCGCTTCGTTCAAGCGCATGCGGGAGTTCAGCGCCAACGGTGAGGAGTGGATAGCGAACGCTCTCCGCCTCAGCGACTTTTTGGAGGTCGATGAGACCGGTACCAAAGTTCGACGAAGGACGGAGGTCCAGGAACCTAAGGACTCGTTTGAGAGGAGTGTTTATGCAGTATGTGGATTTTTTGAGGTTTGTAGATGACGGATTGACCCGAATTGGATCCTAGAAAGGCTTCCCAGACGAGGATAACACATTGCAGAAGCGTATCGAGGAGTTCTTCAACCAGTACGGGACAACGACTGCTGTGCGCATGAGGAGAGGTGACGACAAAAGTTTCAAGGTCCTTATCTCATGCTTCAGGCTATACATCTATTGAACACAGAACAGAACTCTGTATTCGCCGAATTCGTTGACTATGCATCAGTCGACGCGTTCCTCAAGGCAGATCCCAAGCCGACATTCGAAGGCAAGGAACTGCTCGTCATGACAAAGTACGCCTCTCCTTCTGTCCTTTTTCTATATCGACCAACACGCACTTTTCCAGAGACGCGTACTGCGAAATGAAAATAAAAGAAAAAGGCCTCACTGGCAAGTCGGCCAACAACCGTCGAAACCTCATCGCCAATAACACCCGTGGTTTCAACGCATTCCGCGAAATGGCGAAAGGAAAACAGGACAAGAAGCCAAAAGCAGACTCCGAGGCACCCAAGGAAGTGTTCCTCGAGTTTATGGGCACAAAACTCCTCATCACAAAAGACAAAGAGGGGAATGGGACTGTGGATGAGAAGGAGATACCGTTTGTGAAGGGTGCTACGCTCAAATTTGATGGGTGTGGTGGAGATGTGAAGTGGCAGGAGATCAAGGTACCTTGTCTTTCTTGGTGCCGTTGCGTGCGTCTGTTGAATGAATCTTTTAGGACCCAGTGAAGGAAAGGTTTGACGGCAGAGCTCCTTTCATTAAATACTCCCGTGGGGATAACCACGGGCTTGTTGGGTTCCACAAGGCATTGTCAGAAGAGGACATCACGTACATCAAGGAAACGATTAAGACCATCAATGAAAATGAAGTGACTTGGACTTTACCTAGCGGTACGCGGTTCTCTCCTGTTGTTTTCACCCTTTTCTGATCTGAGAGGTATACAGAGGAGGATGAAAAACAGTTCCAAATTGAACGTGCCCAATCCGGGGCTAAACTAGCACTGCAAGGCGGCTTCTCACGAGACAGGGATAGCGGTGGTCGCGGACGAGGCCGCGGGCGTGGCGGCGGTGGACGAGGAGGTGGACGAGGAGGCCGAGGACGGGGTGGCCATGGTGATAGGCAACGTCGTGGTGGGGACCGGAACGCTGAGCGAGAGAAAGAGAAGGGACAACAAAAGGGGGAAGAGGTCGGGGAGAAGAGGAAACGCGCTGTGGAGCCTGATGGTGGCCCCCTTGTTGGCCAGCGGGGAACGGCTGCGCCTCCGATGCTTGCGCCTTCCACGTCAAAAAGAAGCAAGACGGACGGCGAGGAGTCGTAGTCTGGTGGTGAACCCGAAACGAAACAAAATGCGGGGTCGTATGTGTTCAGCGAAACTGTAAAGCTGTGTATTTGGTAACACTTTTGCGTATCTTCTTGCTTTTATAACTCCAATCCACTCCGTTGGTAGTTGCTTATATTTTCTTGTATCATAACAAAAATATGCTGATTGAACGTACTATTACGTTGCTTGCGATAAAATCATAGAAAGGGATTAGAGATTTCGTGCGCGTTTGTTTCTGCTTGACCATATTTGTTGCACGCGACTTTCACATGACCTGTCACCTGATTGCGTCCTCTCTCAACTCTCATGTCATTGTCAATTATTGTCAGTGACGGCACCAAGATAGCACTCTGACAATTCTGACATGATCTTGAGAACTCGAATTACGCTTACCTAGCCCAAGAGAGTTATGCCTGTCCTGCGCCTCTCTTGGATCCGACTCGGAGGAATTTGGATAGGAATCATAGAATCGCCATCTGTCGCAATCATGCGAGTTGTGAGCGGTACGTGTACTCTGCTGTAAAAATACATTGAAGCATGGTTCTAGCATGACCTTCTATCCTATTAATAGCTCTCTGACTCTCATTTAAAGCGATAGATGCATGGCATGGGTAGCAGGCGGCCCTCGCCAATTCACCCTACAGTTGCCTAGATGAAATTATCGACGCCCCTTTTATTGCTGTCTGCAGCGGTTCTTGGTGCCCTTGCCCAAGAAAGCACCACAAGTTCCACGCTTAGCATTCGTAGTCACGTACTACCCAGCGGCGGGCCATAGTAGGTTTACCCGATATTTACTGCGTCCAGCCAGTACTGAAAGTCTCAATTGTAGCACTAAGACCAGTGGCTCTTACACTCTTCCGACCACCACAGGGAGCCAAACGACTCCATTGCCTACCAGCACAACCATCACAACCAGTGCAACCAGTACAGGCACCCCTACCGTTGTCCCAACTACCTTACCGACGACTTCAACAACAACGAGCCCATTACCTTCATCCACGTTGTCAACTACATCCACGGGCTCACGCACCTCGTCTTCAAGTTCCTCCACGTCTGCTACCACGAGCAGCAAACCTTCTTCTGGCGCTTTATCCATGACAGGCTTGGAAGGCGGCAACTACGTACTGGCAGCCCTTCTGTCTTCGCTTTTGTTCTTCCTCTAGCAATGTGTCACTGATATGATTATGGACATTTTTTGCAACCATTGGGCGTTAAGATGTAAGCGCATTGAACGCCGTGATGTGGAAAAGAGGTTTTGAATACCCTTCGCGAAATATAATGCTAACTTCGATTTCTCAGCAATGCACCACTGCCGTCGCAACACTCTGCAATCATACAGCGTCATCTTGGAGGTACAACAGAAGGTAGCATGACAGCGGCTAGCTTCGCCATCTGGTGACCAGACACATAAAGACAGGGCAGTTGCTTGGCGGGCCGGGAGAACCGATATGCTTGAGGTCTAGGATGTTTTGAGTCAAGTTGTCAAACTAGCTTCTTATGAAAGAACGCCCGCAAACCTTACAGCCTCCTCGCCAGACCACTTACTTGGCGCCACCCACAGGCAACTCCTTCGAAGGACCCAAGACGGAACAAAGCCACTATCTGGCGCCCATATAACCTCACGCCGGCGTGTCTTGCAGTATCATCCTTCAATGATTAGATATGGAGGACATACCGGTACGCCGATAAGCAAAGGGCAGTGCATGCGTTGCGCGCGAGGAGCTCAAACATCCACAACGAGGCGTTAATCCAGAACAGGTTGTGTCTTTTGTATGTCATGACGAGTCAAGACCCTCTCTCCGTGGTGTGCGGTCGACCACCTCTCGATCGCAGTATGTTATAAGAGCTTGGCGGTTTGTGATTCCAGCTCCAGCAAAACCTCTTCTTTCCATCTTCGTTCTCCACTTTCCAGTTAATCACCAACATGAGGTGCACATGCTTGATGACAATTTTCATGTTGGCATTGGGTGCCTTTGCTCAGGATGGCACCTCGACCGGTACCGATGGCAGCCTCACCAACCTGCCCGTCCCAACAACTTCAACGACTCTCCCAGACGCCACCACTGCCACGGACGTCACTAGCATGTGAGTTTTGTGTCCTCCCCCGCAATTTCTTTGCTCATGCGCTGTGCAGTACGACCACATCAGTGCCAACAATATCGTCGACATCCACGACACCCTCCACAACCACACCCGCCAATTCAGCAACAACAACAGCCCCCACGTCCCTTGTAACATCATATGCAAGGACACCTGCACCAGTGACCACATTCAGAGCACCCCCACTCCCTAATGGTAATGCTGCCTTCCGACTTGCTCTGAGCAGTGAGGGCGTGGCACTTGCGGGTATGGCAGGGATTGCTGCATTGTTGCTTTGAGGAACTTTCAAAGTAATGTTTGTCATTCCTTATCCTCCTCGTGCGGCAGCTCAGCGGTTGACTCCTTGATGGATAGATCATGACACCATTACGCAAACCAGCATTGGATTCGGACACGGACATATGTAATCTACCTCACGTTAATCGCACGCACATTTCATGTAACTCATGTAAAACATACCTGGGACAATTTAGATGGACGACTTTCTCTTGGTATTTCTCTTAGCAGAACACGAGGACGCATATAGGTCGCCGCACTGGCACAGCCTGCCAGAAGAAAACAAGAATATTGATTATCAAGACCGTGGACATTAGTCCACCATAAGATAGTCAGAAATACATATTATCGTCGCATAATGTAAGACTGCAATGGAATAACTGTCCTGGAGGACAGCAATGAGGGCTGCTAATCATCGTCGCTGTCAGCTTGAGGAGGCTTGTTGCCAGCGTTGTTGCCCTGCTTAGGCCCCATGCCGAAGAGCTACAACAAAATTAGAGATAGCCGGGGCAGTAAAAGTAACTTGGACCAACATATTTGATATCTTTGACACTCAGTTTGTGGAGTTTGGCTCCGGTCCCTTCGCCTAGAGCGGCTTCCGCGAGACCTGAAAGTAGAATTGTGGGTCACAATCCCGGGTGCCTGAGAGTAGGCTTGAGTACGTACCAACTTTCACGTCTTGCAACTTCAACATGCTGCAAAAGAAAGTAGCTTAGTCAAGGTCGCCATGTGAGCTCAGAATACTAACCGTTCTTCAATAGTGTTCTCAACAACAAGACGCTTGACGTGGACAGTCTTTTCTTGACCAATTCGATGGCATCTATGTAACGATAATTAGCATCCTCTCCAATTGACAATGAAAGCTCTTGGAACCTGTCGTATGCCTGGGACTCAGCGGCGTAATTCCAAGAAAGATCCATGCTGTAATGTTCGCAAATTGAGTAACACGCCACACGAATGGAAGTATGTCCTTACTTGACAATGCGATTTGCTGATACCAAGTTCAAACTGGAAAGGTGTTGAAGGGGTGTCTTCCTTCAAGTTATGATATGACTTACCCAACACTACCGCACTTAGTGCTGGACGACGGTTCCCGTAAGGATACATTTTGGTCAATGTAACATGGAATACACTTCACCTTATCAGAATGACTTTGGGTCCTCCAATCTGCTTGAAAGAGGCAAGGGTAGCATCTCTCGAAGTTCGATCCATCTTTCCGTCAAAGCGCAGACTTCGGATTCCATGACGAGAAAACAGGGTTTCAATCAAATCCAACATGGAAGTCCCTAGACCATATTCGTTACGAATAACCCGGTAATTGAAAGGAAGGATGCTCACATTGCGAGTAACAGATAGTCTTGTCCCCGGTGGACTCCCACTCTTTCAAGTAATCGATCAAGGCCAACATTTTCGTGCTTGGCTCCATGTCATCGTCTCCCCGTCGCCAAGTAGCCAGTACAGCATCAGAAGGGTCAGAACTCTTTCCGTTTCCAAAGCTGGCTCGTCCCTTGCCCTTGCCAGGGGGCATGGGCGATGGTTCTCTCGTCCGTTTGCCCAGCGAAGTAGTCCCGTCGAAGATCTCGACGTCGGAGTCATCGAGTTCCGACTTCACCCCCGACGTCTTGGATGAAGTGATGTCTTTCATTGTAAGGTCGATCATCTCGTCCTACATGCGCGATGAGTGGGGGTATATTGGAACCGAAAAAGCACTTACATCCTCTAGTGCAGATTTCATGTTTTTCTTCTGGCGCTTCTTGGGACGATCCTCGAACATATTGGCAACGTCAGGGAGATCATCATCGGAATCCGACATCAGGAAATCCTCAAAAGATTTTAGTGGCGACGGTGAACACTGTGACTTTACAATGACATCTCGGCTGCTCCTTCCCTTTTTCGCTTGACGTTTTGACCTGGCATGATTGCTCAATTCCTCGTCTGACGGCTCAAACGCAGCAGATTTGAAGATCTTGTCCGCACTAAGGTCGTTCATCTTCTTGCAAGTGGGACCTGGAAGACCTAGTTCAGAATGGTGACAGAAAGAAAGAAGAAGAACCGCACAAGGCCGGTAGCCCTTTGCTGCTGCATTTTCGTGTTCTTTCTCGGCTGCGAGATTCTCTTTCTCGCTCCCATATCCGCTAGAGGCAGAGAGATGAGTAATTTAGGTCCTTAATGGTATAGGCGAACGTACAAGATACCATCGTGCGCAATTGGAGCATTCTTGAGCTCGAGGGAACAATCTGTGGAGCAATTATTGGAAGGGGCCCAGAATGTATGAGGGGTAACATAGTACCGAAACATATCTCATGGCCACAAGCAAGAATACGTCCACTGTCGTTAATGTACACTAGAATGAAGATCAAAAACATTGTCATAAGAGCTAAAAAGGGGCCACCCACTATCTTTACAGACGGGACAATTTGCCTCTGGTGCATCAGCCTCGTCCGAAAAGTCAAGTAATTCGCTAACAGCTGCACGCAAGAGGAATCGCTTCTTGACCTGAGTTTGATGTGTAAGCCCGATGTTCTTGAAGCCCAACATGGGGCCTACCTCTGCAACCCAAGCAGCGCCCATCAGCTTCTTGGCTCGCCCAAGTTCCTTCTCGGCATCGCTTGCAACAAGCAGTGTCGGGTCTTCATATCCATCAGTCAAAGACTGAGCTCATGCGTCAATATCAAGGGTAAAATCATTTAGCAAATTCACACTGACAAGAATCAGGTGTGGATGACAGCAAAGCTGGCGTAAACGCAAGATCATGACCTACAAAGGGAATTAGAGACTGGATAGGCAAGACGATGCACCCACTCACTAGAACAGCTGCATGACTGAGAATTTCATGTTAGATGAACCTTTTGAAAAGATTGGGCAGAACCAATGCTTACTTCTTGAGGAGAGTTCTCTCCCGGATGAATTTATTCAGCCGAATCTTGGTGCGCTTCTCGAAGCAATCATAGACCTGAAAACAAAGGTTGTCAGAAAACAAGAATCAGAAGTTTAAAGAACCTCACATCTCTTTCTTCCCGTGAAAATTGGAGTTGCACCATCTCGATTTCTTTAGGAGGAAGCTCTAGAATGGGTTTCCCTTCCAGCGAAGAATTCTTCGTACGTCGAAGCAGGAGAGGCTTCAAAATGGCTTGTGCTCGGGCACCTGGAGAAAATGAGCGATCATGAATGAATGACTAGTAAGAGATAGGTACCTGCCAATGGGGCGTCGTCGACCTGGACTTTTGCCTGTTCACAGGTTAGCTCAGAGGTCACCATGGCAATAATGAGTGGGCATACCACATGCGCGTTGAAGTCATTCCAATCGTTCCAAGGTCTAAATCGGCCAAAGCGAAGCAGGCCGTAGATATCGGCCCTATGAAGAGGGGAGTTGAAGAAGAAGAGGATAGTGAGCGAGATCCAAGACCCACAGAGTATTGGTGACCGGAGTACCCGTCAGCATCCAGCGATATTTCGCTTTGATGTGGGCTAAGCTGATGCTCGATCGAGTGGACCTAGATAAGAAAGACGTTAGTAGGTCTAAGAAAGGTGGTGGGGAGCGACAACACCGATTACGAATGAATTGAGCCTCATCTGCGATAGCACGGTAGAACTTCACACGCGCCAAGATACCTCTGGCAATAAATTAAGCCAGATAAAAGAGACCTGAGGAGGCAGCACACCCATGCTCTGCGAGCCATTCAGGCTCATCTTCAGGAGGAAGATCTTTAGGTACGTTGAAATCCTGACACAAAGTTTGATATGATGTGACAATAACCTGGGATAAAGGTCAAAACGGGGCCAACATGATAGGGAAAATGACTGTTGATACATACGTCCTTTGAGTTCACTTGGTCTTTCGTCTAGGAGCGCAATTTCAATTAAACTGTGAGGGGACAAGAGCAAGTTGAGTACCTTCAATTTATCCTTCCCATGGTGGATGTGCACATCGAAAAGACCGTTGCTCTTTGTGTCAATTTCATCTTTCCACTAGAAAGTCGATTCGTGAGTGGGCAGATAAACGGAGTTAAGCATCCCCTGCCTGTTGTAATAGAGCAGCAGGGACTACGATAAGAGTTGTTCGGCAACCGTCATCAAGTTTAGGCAGGTTCATCGCCATGCAGGCGATCATTTGGACAGTCTTTCCTGCGAGATGTTAGATAAACCCTTCATATTTAGCGAATTCCCGCTTACCTAGACCCATGTCATCTCTGACAAAAAGATAGGTAACGCGTTTAAAGGGTCATGGTGAAAGAACCTACGCCAGGATACCTCCTCTGTCTTGACCCTTCTCCTTTTGCAGCATCCTGTTGCACGGTATGAAATAAGAAAAGAACAAGACGACAATGAGATGTAGATCTTTACCATGCGACTCCGATTGCTTGGTGACTCAAGAGCCGAACTTCAAGCCCAGGAAGCAAATCTTTTTGACTTTCAGGAGTGGTTGAGCAACACGGACCATGCGGGAATAAATCTGGCGACGTACTTCTTGAGACCCAATTGCTTCATAGCGTCCCTCACAGTGAGCCCATGACTCAAGTTATCAATCGATTTCGTCACAAATTCCGCCAATCTACATTCCAAATTCAGATCACGGCGACGGATGTTGTGATAACCCTCACCTTTGTTCTTGATCCGGCCCACCAACATCTATAACGCGAAGTGGCGTAACTTGATCATAATTCAAGCTAAAGCCCCCAGCACCTCCCCTCTTCGGTGTCGGTCCAAGAGAGCTCGCCAAGAACCCCGCATCGACCGTTGCTGGAACGTGTTTGTCGACGTGTCTGCGGAGCAAAGTGTAAAAACCAACCTGCAGATGCGACTCCAGCCGCCCTCGCCTGCGCAACTCTCAAGAGCTCTGCAGCTGTGTTTTTCTTCGAGCTTGACCCCGGTTCGAAGTAATCCGTGATGCTAGCTTGCTGCGACTGAATGCCATTCTGGCTCCCATTGGGTGTTTCTGGGGTTTTTAATATAAAAGAGGAGTCTGGGGACCCCGACGATGTAAAAGATTGATCCAACGCGTCGAGTACACTCAACGTCTTCCGAGACGCGTCACCAGCCATGTTGGAAGGAGCCAGTCGCGGTTTTCGAGGAAAGCAGAACAAATCAATATGAAAGGGGGGGGTCACCGCCTTTCCATTACGTAACTCCGACAGAAGTTGTTGACCCGCCAAGGCGAATTTGACGGTCCTTCGACAAACGTTTTTTGGGCGTATTTAGAGTAGAGAAAATTTCAAATCGGAACGAGACCTACTCTGCTTTACTTTATAATTGTAGAAGTTCGTCAAACTTTTTGATGTGGTTATACTTGAGCGTCCCAGCCTCTGGTGAGTGGAGATCAAGTGGAGATCAAATATGTTTACAGTATAGGATACTTATGTTGCCAGAACAGGGTATACAACAGGATAATACATCTTGCCAGGTATTCGAAAGCTACGCTAATGATGTAGCCCCAAAAACGAACCGGTTCAAAACAATAGATAATTGAATAATTAAGATTGAACTAGCTCCTAACAGTCTCCTGCCCGACTATTCTTGGGCCACGGCTGTTTAAAATCCCCGGTCCATGTTGTCAGGTTGAAGTTGGAATATGCTTCCGCATATCTGAAATTTCCAAGTCAACGGTAAGACTCCTTGAGATAGAAGGAAGGCACCCACGTCTCGATATATTTCGCAGTCGGGAAATTGGCAGGATCACAACCAACGTTAATCGCGTTTGCAGGTTGATAAACGCGGATGTAGTCTATGCTCATTGTGGCAGGGAACTGGAGGTTCTCAAGGTCGATGAAACCAAAATTTTTGGAGATACCAAGGTTGGCGATGATGTACTGTAATTCCGTTCACCTGTGAGTCAACTACCCGCATCAGTGAATCGATTCTCACCATTGGTTCTTGGGATACCGGTCGTGGACCAATTTCCGTCCGCGTATCTCCGGCCAAGCCAGCCGACATGATTGTCCACGAGACTTTGGCATCATTAATCCAAGTGATATATCCATTATCAAATCTAAAAAGCGGGCGTCAGAAGTAATATGGTTAACTTGACAAAGTGCACACCCAGGGGCATATTCAAAGCCGTAGACGCTAAAGCAACCTTTCTTCAGTTCGTAGCAGTTTGGGTTGGCGTGTGCAAGTCCGCTTGTAGTCTGTTGGACCGCACCTTCAATTTACATTAGGGATCCGAATTGTGGAAAAGCGATAAACGACGCACCTCCCACGTACGGATTCAAAACGGTACCTGGATCAGTTATCCTCAAGTTAGCAGTGGTGTTTTTCCATTCATATTGGGCCTGACGAATTCCTTCAGTGTAAGTTGATTCAATCAATGAAGCAAAACATACGTTATACGGGGCCCACTGCGCGGACAGTGATACCTGATGTGCGTCAATAGGGTGTCAAGTGTAAAAGTTATAATCGCGAACCATTCCAACGTTGTCTTCAACGATGGCCTCGAAAACATCAATTTCGGGTGATGCTCTGCCGACGTAAGTGCCATCCGCTCTCACAGGCCCAGGGTGGGATTCTCCCTTGCAAGTGCATGCCGCTAAAATGCAAGCTTGTTCAGCCAATATCAGTAAACGTTCAACTTGTACGCACACAATCGCTGGCCGGATAGAAGTGACTGGAGCACACGATTGATCAGCCATAAATGAATTCTACAGGGAGATGCATACTAGTTGCCCATCGAAGGTCGGATCGCCGTTTTGAATTGCAGCCAGAGGAGTGGTTCCGCCAGGGTATGTCTGGTTAGGCAAGGTGCCGACGTCACATGAATCATAGCTGTAAGGCCACTGAAGAGTAATCAGCACGCTCGATTTCATTTGACTTGCTCCTCAAAACTCACCAAGCCTTCCAAAGTAGCACCAAAGCCAGCACGTCCTTAATGACGTAGATTAAACTGCTGTGTAAAAAGAAAGCGATGAAATGTAATCACCGAGATTTCCCATCGACCAGCTTTTGCCGGTTCATGAGCTTCCTCTCCACAAGTTTTAGAAAGAAAAAATCGACTCACATAGCTGGCCACAATCCTCTGGCAACGGGGAGATAACGAATTGAAGAGGACTTGGATACTCATAATTCAAAGGGCTTACCCAATAGTGTCTGACCCGGGCAAGGTGACGTTCGCTGAAGAAATAGTTGAGTTAGGGTACGCAAAAAAAAAGGTTACACAACGAACCTTCTAGAAGTCCGCCGGTGAAACAGAATTTATTCCTGAACACAGCTGATTAGACCCAAAAATATGGCACATTAACCAGCGCACCATGTCTGAACCTGAGGATCTGTCATCAAAGAAAGACCTGGTAAATACCTCGGAAATCAAACGTACCATTGCAGACTTATATGACATATTGTGATTGTCCAATGGATTGGCGGCAGCTAGCGTCAGCCTCAATGCACCGCCGCGAGTCACCGCTGAGGGTGCCAGTCAGAGGCACCGAAGGCTCGAATCGGGAGAAGACTCACCCTGACCGGGGTCATACCACTCTAGATCATTCTGGGGGTGACCATCAGCTCTTATTCCTTCAAACATCATGTTTAAGACGACGTACTGTGCCCCAATAATGGATATCTACCGCTTCCCAATAAGGATCGTCTCCAGGGTAAAATGTACGGTTATCGGTGTTGAATTCGTCGGAAAACACCAATACCATGTCTTGTTTCGGGTTGAAGTAAGATGGCTTCGTGTACGCCGACTTGGGTGTATCACGGTCGACAAGTCCGTAGTTGCCAAGCATGTCGGGTATTTGCCCTGTTGCATTGATACCACCGAGGTTAAAGCCACCCTGAGTCGTTTGTTTCGTTTGCGTGAAATGTGACAGGACGGGATACCCTGCTCGGAATAGTGTGAGTGGGACATAAAGTCTTGGACACGATATATGGAGGCATTACCAGCACTAAATTTTCAAAGAAGGAGTCCATTGTAGCGATTGAGAAGGTTTGCCAAGAAAAATGAGACGTACAAGAGCATCAAGCAACCAGCCACCAAGATAAATAAACAGCCAAGGTTCGCAAGGCCCCGGGTGGTAAAAATTCCCCCTCCTCTATCGAAATGTCTATCCCGAAGGGAGTTTGGATTATGTAGGTCATCGTCCGGCTCCGAATCACGTATATCCAATGGCGTTCCCCATGACTGGGGCGAAGGAGCCAATGAATACTAGACGGCAAAATAAATAAGCTGGCATGATAGGAGTGAGATTCCAACAACCTTCTCTGCAAGAGAGCTCTTTCAAGAACATGATATTAGTGACGTCTGCGGAATAAGAATCCACCGGTACTTGCCTTCATGCTCGGAGCTAGCGACCCTGCTCTTCTGGGGCTTTCAGTGCTGAGAAGGCTCGTCGCCGACGACGAAGACTGGTTCGTGAAACGCGGTTTAAAAGACATGAGTATTAGTCGGGTTGATAAATGGGTGTTATTGGGGTTTTGTTAAAAGAGTGGAAGTTGATCTGGCGGAGAGTATTTGAAAGAGGGAGAGCCTTTCACAGGACCGTAGGCAAGAATGGTCTTTCGAAGACCTTATTATCTTCTTGAATACGCCTGACTGGCCTGTCCGGAAAAATGCAAGCGGAACTGTAAAAGTTCAGAGAATGGGTGAAGGGAGGAAACAGGGGGGCTTGGACCGGAAATCATCTTGCTTGCGTAATCCTAGGAGCATGTGGAGGAGAGCTGTGGGCGGTTCGGTTTTGCCGATGGATCAAGTTTTGGCGATGATGTGTGCCAAGACACTGAAACGAGCGTTTCTTAGAGATTCCCATCAAATCATCCCTGAAGTCAAATTCGTTCGTTCAACTTGTCGCCTTACAAGCTTGGGCTGGTTCGGGGTGCTCGCAATTGTTGAAAACGGATGGTACATGCGCTAGATTTTTCAATGTCAGCGAACACACCCCCAGAGCAGCTCAGACCAGTTACTTACCGTTGACAAAAGAAAAATCAAACTTGGGCGTGACGAGGATGCCGCGTGACGTAACTATCACCTGTTCAGCACGCGTGACCACAAAAAAGGAGTGAGCTTTGTATTTTCAGTTTCTGAGCATTCTTACTTGAATTTACGGGCACCAACAAGGGCGCGTCGCCATTCATACAAAGCCATTGTACAATTCCCGTTGCGGGTGACGTCACAGTCATGTATTCACCACGCGCCAACAAAGGCGCGCCATTTATTTAAAAGTCGAAACGCGGTTTTTCTTCAGGCCACGGATAACCGCACCCACCACAGGTAAAACTCTACATTCGCGCATTCTTCCATCCAGGAAGTAATTTATGTTCTACAGGCATTCAACGCAATGAAGTCTTCCACCGCTGAGGTCAAAGTGCTCAAAGGAGAGATTCAAATGCTTCTTCTACTGTCAAATTCACGCACCGTCGTAACGACACTATCATCCGCCCTCGACAATTCATCCGAGACCGAACTGCGCCTTATGAAAAAACTACTCTCCAAGCTCATCGACGACTCCAAAAAGGAACTCCACTGCGTTCGGTGCCACGAGACTTTCACAAAGAACATGAACTCTCACAAGTCCTGTGAAATAGAGCACGAATTCAACGAAGAAAAGGATCAGATTTATAGGCATTGCGAAGGATGGACTACAATCATGAATTGTGTGGGCATGAGGTTGAGAGCGACAACTCTCCTGATGGCTTTTGTTCCGTCAGCGCGCACACGACTCACCCGTCGCAGGTCGATTACTATGATCCCAAGAGGAAAGCGGGTAATAGCAGCATCGTCCCATGCTCCGTGAAAGGATGTTTGTTAAAGGAAGGCGAAGTTGATAGCAAAGACTCTGAGGCTGACTCTGAGGAGGAGGAAAATGATGACGAAGACGAGTGTGATTCAGATGAAGACGACTCGGATTATTAGTGAACGGCGTAATTATCTGTCATGTATACGCGCTCACTACGGTGATTTGATATCTGTACTCGAAACAATAATGGCTCAATTTTCTCTGCGCAATGCTTTGGAAGGTTATGACAAACGGAGTTGTTGATTTTTTAACTTCATGCAGTAAATCGTCGCCAATAAAAATTACGCATCGCTGAGATGGCAGTGCCCGAACGCGACGCGTCCCGCGTATGGGGTTGGTGCGCCAGGAGACAAGATAGGCACTTGATTTCAATCTGTCAAATTTACAAGATATAATAAGACTTCCGTTAAAAAATGAACTCCTCTTTTTGACGTCCTCCAACTTGATGAACGGGGTTGGTGACATGGTGACGCAGAGAGTACTCTGACTGGAGTCACGGTTCCCTTGACCGCTCGAGCAGAGGAAAGTGATCGACCAGCGGCCTCGCCGGGCCGGGAGCAACCACCATGATCAAACACGTGACCTTGTATCGCTATCTCAAGCACCGTCTTCGTTATAGCCGCACCATTACGGCCTTCACTACCTTCAAGATCGGCAAGCTCTCTCATCCCCATCGACCCCGCCATGCCCTCTCCCGCCGCCAACGCTCTCCCCCGCCTCCCTAACGAGCTATTTGACAGGATCATAACATTCGTTATCGCAGACAGCGTGCACTCCGTATGCGTCTCTCCAGGGGACACGACATGGGACATGGACGTCCTACCCACACTCCATCAAGTCTCTCCCTTATTCCGCGCGATCTCCACGGAGGTGGTCCGAAAAGCGTTTGACATGCCACGCGTTAAGCAAACGGCTGATCCAGGCGAGCCTGATGCAGTGGACGAACATTCATCGTCAGTCTCGCACTCCTCAATTTGATTAGTTTACATATGTATGTCAAACTCGAAACGCCAGAGTTCTCCAAGCCCTCCGAAGAGCGTTTGATATGCCATGCGTGAAGCAAACAGTTGATCCAGGCGAGGATGCGGTAGACGACCATTCATCGTCAGTCTCCTACTCCTCAATCAATGTTTAAATCTGTCAAACTGAACTTCGAAACACCAGAGTCCTGAAAACCCTCCCCCAAATCCTCACATACCTCCACTCCATCAGCACGCGACTCCGGCACCCAACCGAGTGGGGCCAAGTGACGTTCCAGAATATCACCTGTCCCACAGGGCCCTTGGTGCTCGCGTATGTGCTGTATCTGAGCTGCTCGTCGATAAGGAGGAACTCGGTACAGGGGAGCGTGCAAATGTTCAAGAGCTCGCATGCGGCGATATTTGCGGCTTTGCAGCAGAGTATGACTTTGTGTGAATCGGTGGTGCCCGCGCTGGTTACGGGGCTTTTGGAGGACAGTATTTGGATTGAGGCTGGGTTGGCTAGATATGGTAGGGTTTATTTTTGTTTTTATTTGAGACACTGATTAGTGCAAGGCCTTGAGATTGTCAGATATTTTTGTGAATTGGAGGAACATGCTGATGCGATTGTCGCGCACAGAGCTGGAACTGATGAGGATGCAACATCATATAAGGTGTGTATCAACTTATACGTATCCCATTGGAGCAAGGGGGCTGATAATAGATTACAGATCGCATTAATTTCGTTCGACATCGTGCTCGGGAGGATCGAATCAGCAGTCATCGAATATCGATGTACGAGCATGGTTGGAAACTACGAGTCGAGACCGTTTGAGGTTTGTTTCCCCCATGATCTTGTCGCAGAAAGCCGTTTTGAATTTTTATTGCAGTTGCCTGGGGTTCTGCCGATGCTCAGGAGATTACATGGGCTGAATTTAGTAGAAGGCGGGTTTAAGTTGGCACAGAGAATACAAGCTTTAGTTGATGAGTGGTCTTATGCCTGTCCTTTCCTTCATCCGAAAAACCCAATAGATTGATTATTGGTGATTTGATTCTCGGTGGAATTTAACGAGGTGTACTTTTATCCAGCGGTTTCGATTTGCCCTCGTCAGAGTCGAGTTGGCAAACGTCATTTGAAGACTGGATGAGGTTCTCGCCCTTTTGCTTGATATTCCTTCAAACCCATGCGCGGTTGCAAATCTCATAGAAAGTGAATAAAACAGACGGCTTCAGTCTCTGAAGAAGGCGAAGAACCGTACTTGACCCTAAGATAAGCCGCACAAGGTCCGTGCGTGTGTTCCACCTTCCCAAAACGACACATCACATGACCTTCCCTACAACACCATTTTTTTTTCCGCGTCCTTCTTCACCAGACTCACTCGTGTCACCTTCTTCCACGTCCTCCATCTTCCTACTCAACCCAAAAAAATGTTCGCCAACGCTCTCAGAATGCAAGCCCGCCTCGCGCTCCTCACAGCCCGTTCCGTTGTTGTTCGACCTGCCAGCACCGTCATGCGCATGCCTCTGCAAATGAGGTTGGGCGCGGTGGCAGTGGGTGCGTCAAGAGCCCTGTCGACGACCCGCGTGCAGCGGTACGAAACTGCCTCTGCACCACCCAGAAACCCACCCGCCAAGACGGTGTGGATTGGCAATTTGCCGTTCTTTGTTTCTGAGGAAGAGGTTCGAGAGAAGTTTTCACCGTATGGGCCTATTTCGAATATTCGATTGAGTGCGTATTCGTTCTCTATTTCTTCGGCTTTTTCTTTTTCCTTTGCTCTACCTACCCCGCTTCTACCCTATCCTTCCCACTTTTCCTCTCCCTCCCTCAACTGCGTACTCACCCACCCCCCTATAGGCACAGGCCCAGACGGTCGCTCAAAAGGCTTCGGACACATTGAGTTTGAATCCCTCGACGACGCTGTCGCAGCCGTCGAGTCGGGATTGGAAGAGCCCTTCCACCTCGCCGGCCGTGACCTCCGCGTCGACTACGGTGCAGAACGTGCAGGCACCCCCGTTAACAAGCTTTACTTCTCCGGTTTTGTTGGCGAGGAACAGGGATTGAGGGCGTTGTTTGGCGAGTATGCGTCTGAGATTAGGAGTATTTTCTTCTGTGCGTGCACCCCCCTTTCTTCCTTCCTCCGTTTTTGGTACTGAACGTGATGTCGGGTAGTGCGCGACAACATGTCAGGCGAACATTTACCCACGGGCTTTGTCGAGTTCTCGTCCATCGCCGTGGCTACTGAGGCGTTGAACAAGATTGCGGGCGTGGAAACTCCCAATGGTGCGAGGCTCTCTTTGAACTACGCCAAGCCCCGCCAGCCTGTGCGGACGTATGGGAGGTCAGGAGGGAACGGGGAATATAACAGGGACAACTACACGAAAAAAGCGGGCGGTTATTAGTCGTTGAATTTTGCGCTTTTTTTATGTTTCCCCCTCGTCGTATTTACGTACTGCATCGTCATTTATCATGTTTACTGCTAATTAGAATCCACGATCACCCTCACTCACTCACCCGCTTATAATCAAAATTGGGTCTATATAGTGAGTCCTGACCGGGAATTGACCCAAAAACCATTCAAATTGGCAATGCGGGTATGCTTTGTCTCAGCATAAAATTTAAACCACAAACTCGTTGGAAGACACTCCATCTCCACACCAACGACTCCCCCTCGGCTGCAGAAATTCTTGATATCAGGAACCTTTAACAGAATTACTCACACCTTTATCCACCTTTCGAGCGGCTGAACTCGACTGCGTGCGTCTTATATTTCCAGCATCACGCTTTGAGTGATGAGATTGAGGCTCATCGAGCACTTATATCTCCATTTCGTCAACTGCCTCTCGATGTGGTGTGGGAGATCTTTGCTCATTGTCTTCCTACACATCCGATAACGCCGTCGAGCAGCCCCCTTTTGCTGGGTCGCATTTGTAGCGCATGGAGATCTATCACTCTGCCAACTCCACGGCTTTGGGCAAGTCTTCACATTCCGACGTCTAGATCCGATTTTTTGCATCCATTCACGCAAGGGCAACACGCTGCGAGGCGGTGAGGGAATGCTCGTTCTGTCAAGGCAAATACTCCCTTTTAGCTGCCGATGGAAGACTGTCGACATCAAAGCAATGGAAGGCTCCTTTACACATTTCCAAGACCTCGTGGGGGGGGGATGTTCCGATGCTGGAATCCCTTTCCATCGTCAACAAACCGATAATCACTCTGGGGCAAGTTCCTTCCGAAGTTGAGAGGTCCTGGAGGAAATTTTCGGGTCTCCTCTGAGATCCAAAACTGCGAAGTGGCAGGATTTCTTTAACGTATTGGGAGAAAAATCTTCTCGACTTACCAGTGCGTTGGTCGCAGCTTACTCACCTCAAATTGGACGCAGAGGGTTCGATTCAAACCTCAGAAAGGATAAAGGACCTTAGGTGCAGCTAACTTGTCCACGTATTGAAGAAATGCCCACCATATTCGTTGCTGTGTTAGGAGCTCGTGACACACACGATCACACGGTCAAGAGAGTGGTCACATTAAGCGCGTCTTATCTGAACGCCCAACTACATCAGCGCTCCTTTGTAGCCTGATTCATTTATTCCTAACATGCGTTGTAACCCTGCGACTAGCAGTGGGAATGGGGGCAGTGCAAAGATAACATAGGCGTCAACGGCCAGAATCTCTCCCTCACCGTCGTCCCCAACGCCTCCAAGAAAGCCGGCGTTCTGCAAGGTAAACCCGTCTCCTCAACTCGATGTAATTCCTCACTTTCACACCCTTTCTATAGATTTATCCATAACCGCATCGCCCTCATGTCCGCCTCTAGTCCTGACCTGGAAAGACAGGTCTCCGATACCACTCAAGTCGGGGAAGACCATGGCCCTGGAGACTTGAACCCAATTGAGGAGCGATCTAACATCGATCAAGCTTCGCCTGCAGACGGTCCATACGATTACGTCGGTCCTCTCAGTAGCAAGATCTCTACTCCCCTTTTTTTTACTTTTAAGACAATTTCTAGGCTTCTTCGAGGCGAAGTGGGCCTTCTAATCCACGCCCTCCCTTTACCCCTTCGGAGGCGGAGGTCAAGGAGCAGGTTCGCCGGTTCATGATCATGCATCTTACATAACATACTCAAGACCTCTCTAGATGGGTGAGAAACCGTGGCGGTGTGGTGATCCACGGCACTATGATATACCAAAGAATGGGGATGCGTGGCAGAAGTGCCATGCAATGGTGGAGAAGCACGACAACGAAATGTGCGACGCCTGGAGAGATGAGGTGGATAAATTGTTGATCTTCGTACGTCTACAATGCCCACGTCTGCTGCTGAACTAACACACAACAGGCTGGTCTCTTCTCCGGAGTTGTAACCGCTTTCACTATACAATCCTATCAATGGCTACACGAACATTCTGCGGATTCTTCAGCCCGACTTCTCAGCTTCATTGCAACACAACTCGTAAACTCTACTAATCCCTTACCACCATCCCTTGCCATCGCAGAATTCACCGTCACCCAAGCTCAAATGCGGATCAATGTAGTATGGTTCCTCAGTCTCTCAATGAGCCTGACAACTGTGCTAGTTGGTATCCTGTGCCTCCAGTGGCTTCGAGAATTCCAACGCGATGCAACCCTCTCTCACAAAGACGCCGTGGTCCTTCGTCAAATGCGATACGAGGGGCTGACGAGATGGCACATCCCTGGCATCCTCTCCATTCTCCCCCTCCTCCTCCAACTATCCCTCATCCTCTTCTTCGTTGGTCTCCTCGACCTCCTTTGGTCCCTCAACACCCCCGTGGCAGCATGTGTCTCTGCAGTAGTTGGGATGGACATGCTCTTCTTGATAGCGACCACAGCCCTGCCTGCCCTGCAACAGGTCTTGACAAGGGACAAACATCTCCGTGTTCCTCAGTGCCCTTACAAATCCCCGCAGTCGTGGCTCTTCTATAGCGTTGGGCGCTGGTTCTTCTACTTCCCTTTGCGCTGCTACGTCTGGCTGACCAACCAATCGAAAATCTCACTTCCCCGCCTTTATGAATCTTTATGCATCAACAACTGGCTTGCATATGACGAGCGCTGGCGCAAGCTTCGCAATGCCGAAGATCTCTCCTGGGGCGAACCCATGAAGATATGCGATTCCCACGATGTTGTTCATGGCCTCCACTGGATAAACAAGACACTCGCACAAAGCGTCGAGGCCATATTCCCCGTCTACCACTCCCTTGTAGAGCTAGACATTCTTGCTGCGGCAGCTACAATATCTGAGATATATCTCGAAATAAGGCTCCTGGACAACACCACGTTCTTAATACACGACTATGCCATGTTTGAAACATTGATGAATGATTGGTTCTCCCCAAATGAGATGCAAAAACGGGACATTATAGCCGCGTATTATCTGAAATTGTACCAGGACAGGCACCCAGTTGTGAAGATATGGTATGCGGAGACGGTGATCAGGATATTGAATATGCAAAATGTGCCCCCGCCATGCTATCGCTGGCTTTCCCAGATCCTCTGGGATTTACGGTTGGGACTTTTGCCGGCCCCGGTGGTGACTCAGTTGAACACGAACAAGATTATTATCCAAGCCTTACTCTGCGTCAATACCTTCATCACACGAGACATCCTATGCACCGACGACGCCGTCATGGCATGGATTCTCCTCCGCCAATTGCTCACACTACCCCCATCTGCACCTCCCAACTCAACGCACCCCACCAACTCAGAGCCATTCAACCTCGACCACATCAAGCTTGCCGGCGGGTTCTTCAAAGCACTTGAAGGATGGCTATCGCGGGGGCAAGAAACGGATCAGTGGGTGAGGGTCAAGGTGTGTGCGGAGGGAATGATGAGGCTGTTTTCTTCCCCGATCGACATCGCGGCGCTGAATGATGTGTGTCCGGTACAGATGGCCAAGGCAGCGGGCCTTGTGAGGGCACTGGATCTTGGGGGCGCGGCGGCGGCGTTGGAGAGGAAGAGATGGGGGGAGCTTTCCTCCGGGCAGGTATCACGCCTCGAATCCATAGATGAATCAGCCTCCATGGAGGAGGGAGTTTCTAAGGTTGAGTGGGATCTTTTGGTCAGTCGTTTTAAGGGCATTAAAGGGGGTGATGGGTGACGGCGGTACTGTTAGATCACGACACCGTGAACACGTTTCAGATTCACATACGGACTTTTTTCCCCCTCTCTTTCTCTTCTTTACGTGAAGACTGATTGTTTTTTTTCCCCGTAAGATGTGACGTCCGTACCTATGTACCATAATTGTGCACTTTCACGTCCTGCAAATCTAATCGCCTAAGATAACAACTCTGTATACCATCCCCAGGCCCCTCCTTGATACTGCCAATCTCTGATGCAAGTGAAGGGTGGTATTTTGGCATTTCTTGAAGGAGGGCTAACCTATTGACTCCAGTTGAATACTTAGACTGGAAGTGCTTTGACAATGTCATTTGTGGCTCTGAGCATATGGAAGTAAGTAGGCGCAAACATACTTTTCACGGATGCGCTCAAAATCCGCTTCATTGCGATCTGCCACTTGCCCACCAGACTCAAGTTTTATGACGAGGGCAAACGTCCAACGAACGCAGTCGTTTGACCTTGCACGACATTTTAGTTCTTCTTGATTAAATGGACTGATAGCTTGAAGCCGCGTTGTAACTTCGCAGTGGGAATGGGGGAGGTGCGAAGATAATATAGGCGTCAACGGCCCAGAATCTCTCCCTCGCCGTCGTCCCCAACACCTCCAAGAAAGCTGGCGTTCTTCAAGGTAAACACCTCTCCTCAAATCGATGTAATTCCTCGTTTTCACGCCCTTTCTATAGATTTATCCAATGAGATAACTTATGCGTCTTGTGAGTATGGAGAGAGGAGGGAGTATTTAAATACGGCAAATATTTAAATACAAGAAATCCGTGGACACGGATAACTTGTTTGTGCTTAGAGCTTGCCCGGCTCGCGTAGATCAGATCTTAAATAATAAATAAGAATGGTGAGATCTGAGGAGGCGGGCAAGACCTGAGCGTCTGAAAGCTTGATTGTGTGCCAACCAACCAGCTATACCCACCAGAGTGTACTAAGCTCACAACGAGCAGGTTGGTTCAGCATAGAGGAACTACCCAATCAAGCGTCACTCTGGAAAATTTTTTGTGGAGATTGCAATATAAATACAATTACAGAAATATAAGAACGATATAGAGTACAAATGAGGATGATGACATGCACATTATAAACTACAAGGTAAGGTTCCCATCAGAAGCTGTAATAAGCGCAGATGGGATTTTGTGTTTGATACGGAATTGTTCAAACATGGCAGCCAAGGAGTCCATATGGGACTTGTTGTATGCTTTTGAGGTGCTCATTGGAAGAATCTCTTCCATACGGCGCCAATAGAGTAGAAATGCGAGAGAGGTCCAGCCACCTGTTGCGGCAACGATCTCGGGGGGTACACCAGCGAGGAGGAGTTCAACAGCTCCTCCAATACGAAAGCTGTGGCCAAGAACGTGTGCGAGCATAGCAGATGTCCAAATATGATTGCAAAAGGTCAGAAATTCATGTTTAAGGAGGATTTTTGGATGAGAGGAGGCAGTTGTATATGCAAAAAGGGAAGTCAAAGACTGATCGGTGGATGAGTTGACAGAGAGATGGTTCTTTAAAGCAGCAACAGGGCAAAGGATATCATTTCGTGCGGTAAGGATGACGGAAGCACCAAGCTCTTTCGTTGTCTTAGTCCAAGGAATAGGAAAACTTGCAGAGGATGAGCCATCCCGCAAGGTACGAAAGGTGATCCTGCAGAAAGATAAGAAAAGGATATAAGATAGAGAAAAACAAAAAAATGGACATGACAGAGCGAAGAACATGATATCTTTCGTCAAATGCAGCGGCGGTAGCAACAGCTAGCTCGCCTAGTCGCCGACAGCCAAAAAATGTGCACAAGGCGAGAGCCCACACTGCTGCATGGAAAGGGGTGGAAAGGTTGAGGGCACGATGAAGAGCTAACAAGTGCTCAATGGAAACAGGAGCCCGAAGAGGGTGTTTATGCTTTGTCCCCTCCTTGTTCGCGGATACGCGGGCCAGTCGGACCCATTCGTCATCGCCGAACCAAGGCGCATGATTGATGACATGCCAGGCATGGATGCCAGAGAGCCAGGAACAGATAGTGTTCCCGGCTTGCCTGCCCTTGTGTTCTCCAATGAAGGCACAGAGGAGAGGGTAAGAGGCAGGCATCCGTGCTTCCTCAGAAATACCCCATGTATCGCAGAATTGTGTAAAGCGCAGGGTACTGGCAGCATATGTAGTTTTCGTGTTAGGCGCATAAGCGCCCCGGATGGACATGATGGCACTATTAACCAAGTCCGGTGGAAGTGAGGCAGTGAGGTGGTGTCTGTGATGAACAGCATGAGGCGTATCCCAAGTAAAAAGACAATCCGCAGCAGAAACATGAGGGCGTAGAGAGCTCTGAGAGATTTGGCGCCCGGCTTGAGGTTGTCTTGGTTTGATATACCGATCCAGATTAGATTGGTGGGTGGAAGTCTGGTTGATGGGAGGAGTAGTTGCAGCAGAGGGAGAGGTGTGTAATGGTGTTGAGGTAGAGACAAATGGGATAAGAGATGTGGTAGTGCAAGAGATGGGAGATGGGTTAGTGCAGGTAGTGCAAGAGATGGGAGATGGGTTAGTGCGGGATTTGAAAGGATGGGAAAGAGTATGACGAGATGTAGGGCACGGAGGAACATAACATGGACCACCTACAGCCGTCTCGATGACACGTGTTGCCGGTTTAAAAGGATAATCTAGGCTGAATGGAAATGTCAGAGATCAGAGAGAAAGCAGTTCCAATTGAAGAAGCAAACCTAGGCATGAACAAAACATGAAGAGAGCTCATCAGGGAGCTTAAAAGACAGGAAGATTTGCTTCCCAGCAGGCCCTGGTTCTCCGCGCGAGATAGGGTCAGCAGGATTAGCGTGAGATTCAATGTAGACAGTTTTAAAGACGAGGGATGTGGCAATTAGGATGAGGTGTGTGCGACGAACTGCAAGATTAAGGTAAATGTTGCTGCTGCGACCTTTGTCGAGAGCACCAATAGTGCCTTGGTTATCAGAGTGTACAAGAAGATGAGTGTCTCGAAGGCCTCTAGACTCGAGGAAAAGAGCAAGGAGCTCAATGGCGACCGTTTCAAGCCAACAAATATCCCGGCCTTCAATTTTCCAAGAGGACGAAAGTTGGAAAGCAGCCCATTCACTGCTAATGATAATACCAATCCCCCACGACGTAGAAGCATCAACGTACAACCCAAGATCTAACAGAGGACCGAGAGGTTGGAGGGATCAATGTATCCCCGGTAAAGTGAGCTTAACCAACCACCACTTCAAGTCAGTGATCAGTGAATGCGGAGGATATTTTGTTAAGAATTCATCACCACAGAAGGTAGACGCAAAGTTGGAGAGGGAAGGGAGGTGAGAACGTCCGTCAAGGTACACGAAGGCGATATGGCAAAGGGATCCATGAATCTTTTTGACATCACGCAAATGGCAAGGTCGACCTTCGAAATCCATGAGGAATTGGAGAACACGTTGGTGGAACTTATTCCTCTTCCCTTCTGGCAAGCTGACACGCTTCCGAGGGATGTCCCAGAGAAAACCAATGAAGGTTGTGACGAAGGAAAAGCGTTCATCACCCTTTTCATCATGCCAAGGTACTTCCAAAGAAGAGATATGGTGAAGCATCTCCGATCGGTCATAATCATAACGAAACTCGCCGTCAACGAAGGTGCCCGAAGCCGAAGGGAATCGGAAAGCTTTCAAATCATCTTCATACTTTGGTACTGGGAAGACCCCTTCAGCTCTCCAGATATCGACAACGGCATTAGCGATCATGCCAGCGTTACTGCTGGCACAGGTGGCTCCGAATGGATGATCATGATTGATGAAGAAATCATCCGATGTCCCTTGGACGACGAGCCAAGGTTTGTGAGAGGGGAGCACAGGACACATGCGATGGAACTTCTTTATGTCGAGAGTACATGCTTGAGTTCCAGGAGGTGCATGAGAGATCTGTTCAGAGATAGAGCAATATGAGTAAAATGTTCAGGAGTAGGAGATCAGACAGGAGAGTGAGAACAAGATGGTATATATGCATGACATATCAGAGGAGAGATAAAAGATGCCCATAGCATGCACACAACGATCTTCAAACATAATGTGTGATACCTCATCATAGCCGACATATGGAGGAGTCATCACGCTCAATAAGTGGAAGAGGAGGCATCACGCTTGGCACGTGGAAGATGATCATCACACTCAACGTGTGGAAGAGAAGTCATCACGCTTGGCACGTGGAAGAGGATCGTCATGCTCAAGCATGGAAGATAATCATTGTGCGAATAGCATGGAACAGGAAAGATGATAGGAGAAGCGGGTAACTTGCATACGGCAAAAATACCCAAAGAGCGACTGGCCTGAAGGCCAGCGCTAGTAAAGGAAAACATCTCCACGCACAAAGCGCAAAAGAGATGTATAAAAAACATAAAAAAGAAAGGAATGGGGAAAGAAACAGAATGAAAAAGGACTCACGATATCGGCTACCTTCGATGCGGTGTCGAAACATGTAGGGAACTCATCCTTTCGGATATAGGAGTTAACAGACGCATGAAGTTTCGAGGCTTTAGACAGGTGTTGACAAACCCTGAGTTTGTCAGGCACCCCAGGTTCTTGAGGTTGAACAGAAACGATGAGGGATGACAATTGAAAGGGACCACGCAGGATGTGCTCTGTAACCTCTTGAGAGAAAGGGCCCGAGAGCCTGCCAGCCTTGACTTCTTTTGTGAGGTAGTCAGACACAGTATCAGGATAAGACAAGATGGAGGGATTGTTGGGCATAATAACAGTCTGGGAGAGTGAGGGCATGTGCCCGATAGGGAAGCCAAAGCGTAGGTTGAATGGAAGAAGGGGATAGCTATCGTATAGATCATGTTTGCGCAGTAGAAATTCAAAGGCATCGGGGTTGTATGGATGCAAGATTCTGTGAAAAAGGAGAGATTCCTCCGAAGAGGTGCATGACAAAGGGGGCCGAGGGACAACTGAGGAAGAAAAGTCGGAATAGGAAAGGGGAAGCAAAAGCGATGCCTGTATGAATGCCTCAGTTTGAGGGTCGAGAACGGCAGGTCCAAGAGAAGGCGTGGTGGCATTTACTGCCGCAGAAGGAACAGAGGTGGGCGTGTTCGTCTTGGTGAGAACATGGGTGCCCGCGGTCGCCTCTGAGGTTCCAGCTAATGCAGATGATGTGATTGTCGGGGGTGAGAAGGTTGTGGTCACTGTACTTCGACCATACTGCCTTCCCGTCAGCCTTGAATTTGATGACGACGGTGCTGTCCGCGTGTTGGGTTGCGTTGTGGCCTCGCTCGGCACAGATAAGGCAGTCGGGCGTCGAGGAGGAAGATCTGCCGCTGCCTGAGGGAAAGGGCTGAGAGGGTCGTGTCTGAGAGGAGCGAGGAGCAGGTCGTGGTGCGAGTTTCCCTAACGTCGCATTGAAAGGAGTCTTGGTGGATTCAGACAGCATCATCCCACGGATGTCAGCCATCATCTCTTTCTGCTTCTCGGAAAGTTTGTATGCTTGATAATAACGAGAAGCATCGAATTCGCCATATTTTGCCCAGTGCTCCTGACGGAACTTCAACTCGTCCGATTTCCAAGCATCATAAAGGTCGTCCTTAGTGTCCTGAGAAGTATAAAAGCAAAAATGCTCATTATACCAGTTGCTGTGAGCTTCACCAGTTCTGTCTTCGTCACGTTCCTTTTGGAAAAGGTACATGTTGCCAGCAGCCTCCGTCCACTGGCTGCAAGACAAAGAAAGCTCTTTGCCAAAACGCACAGAGAGTTTTTCAATATCAAGAATGACAGTACCCTTTGTCTCACCAGGATTTGGATTAGTCTTCATTGTCGGTAAGGTAGAAGCCTCGACATTCAAGATATTCAAATTTTTGTTAAGAAAGAAAGGCAAAGGGACAGCAATACAAAGTTCAGTATCAAAGAGATTCTGAGGAAAGGTAGTGTGCCAGGGGACACCAACAATCCAAGGTACCATTTTTTGACCATTCATACAGCGCCACTTGGCAATCCTAGCGTCTTCCGCAGAGAGCTTAACATCATCGTTAGTTTTCCTTTTCATCTTCAGCTTGTCTTTCAACTCCTCATCGGCAATCCATTTAGCAAGTTTGGAATAGATCAAGTTAGGAAAGGAAGCCGCAAAGGAAGGGATGCAGAAGCGGTTCAGATCAGCGTCGTCCAAAGAAATCAAAGAAGCCTCGTCGGATCCAGGTTCGGCGTGGGCAGTAGGATCGGAAATATGGTCAAAAGTCTTCTGAGACCGTACGGCATTTTTATCCTCGATTTCTTTGTTCATCTGAAGAATAGACACCAGAGGAAGAGTCTTCAGCATTTGAATGATAGTTGGCAAAGTATGGGTACGAGGGACGCGAGGAGTGGCAAAGGCATCAGAGACACTAGATGTAGCCACAGGCGTGGCGGCTGTCTGAGAAGCAGGTGTAGCAGCCGTCTGAGAACTTTCAGCAGTAGCTGCTTGAGTTTGAGAGAGTTGGGGACTGTCGGTCATGCTGAAAGCTTGAAGAGAAGACGTCGAAAAATTTGAAAAATTAACTGAGGTTGAGAAGACTCTTTTTATCGTGTCAGAACGATTATCTGAAGTTATCCACCTCGTGAACCACATCGCCCTCCGAATGTCCGCCTCTGGTCCTGACCTGGAAAAACAGGCCCCCAAGATAGACTCCGATACCACTCAAGCTGGGGAAGACGATACCCCTGCAGGCGGTCCCTCCCATTACGTCGGTCTTCTCTTTAGCAAGATCTCTACGCGGCTTTTTGACTTTTCAGACAATTTTAGGTTTCTTCGAGGCAAAGTGGGCCTTCTAATCCACACCCTCCCTTTTCCCCTTTGGATGCGGAGGTCGAAGAACAGGTTCACCGGCTCATGCATCTTACATACCATACTCAAAACCTCTCTAGATGGGTGAGAAACCATGGCGGTGTGGCGATACACGGCACTATGATATACCAAAGAATGGGGATGGGTGGCAGAAGTGCAACGAAATGGTGGAGAAGCACGACAACGAAATGTGCGACGCCTGGAGAGATGAGGTGGATAAATTGTTGATTTTCGTATGTCTATAATGCTCATGTTTGCTGCTGAATTAACACAAAACAGGCTGGTCTCTTCTCAGGAGTTGTAACCGCTTTCACTACACAATCCTATCAATGGCTAGCAGAACAATCTGCAGATTCATCAGCCCGACTTCTCAGCTTCATCGCAACACAAGTGGCAAACTCTACCAATCCCTTACCGCCATCCCTTGCCATCCCAGAATTCGCCGTCACTCAAGCTCAAATCCGGATCAATGTAGTATGGTTCCTCAGTTGCACAGTCAGCCTGACAACTGTGCTAGTCGGTATCCTGTGCCTCCAGTGGCTCCGAGAATTCCAACGTGATGCAGCCGTCCCTCACAAAGAGGCCGTGGCCCTTCGCCAAATGCGATACAAGGGGCTGACGAAATGGCACGTCCCCGGCATCCTCTCCATTCTCCCCCTCCTCCTCCAACTATCCCTCGTCCTCTTCTTCATTGGTCTCCTTGACCTCCTTTGGTCCCTCAACACCCCCATGGCAGCATGTGTCTCCGCAGTAGTTGGGATGGTCATGCTCTTCTTAATAGCGACCACAGCCCTTCCTGCCCTGCAACAGGCCTCGATAAGCGACAAACATCTCCGTGTTCCTCAGTGCCCTTTCAAATCCCCGCAGTCATGGCTCTTCTATCGCGTTGGGCGCTGGCTCTGCTACTTGCCTCTTCGCAGCTACCTCTTGCTGAAAAAACAATTGCGAGCCATACTCCCCTACCTTCATGAACATTTACGCGACAACAGCTGGCTTGCATATGACAAGCGCTGGCGCAAGGTTCGCGATGCCGAAAATCTCTCCTGGATCGATCCCCCGACGATCCGGGATTTCGACGATATTGTTCATGGCCTCTACTGGATAAACAAGACATTCGCACACAGCGTCGAGGCCATATTCCCTGTCTACCACTCCCTCGCAGAGCTAGACATTCCTGCTGCGGCAGCTACAGTATCCGAGTGCTATCGCAAAAGAGGTGACGTCATCAGACTCCTCAACAGGTCCTCGTTCAAAGCATTGATGGATGATCAGTCCTCCCGGAATGAGATGCAAAATCGGGACATTATAGCCGCATATTATCTGAAATTGTACCAAGACAGGCACCTAGTTCTGAAGACGGGGTATGTGGAGACGGTGATCCGGATATTGAATACGCAAGATGTGGCCATGCCATTCGATGACTGGCTTTCCGAGATCTTGCGGGATCTGGCATGGGACTGTTTGCCAGCCCCGTCAGTCACCACTGGGGCTGTGGCCCAGTTGAACACGAATGAAATCACTATCCAAACCTTACTCTGCGTCAAACTCCTCGTCACACGAGACAGGCTAGGCCTCGAAGACGTCACCCTATCATGGGCTCTCCTCAGCCAATTGCTCACACCCAATGACTCAGAGCAGCTCAACCACGGCCACATGAAATTTGTCGGTGGGCTCTTTGAAGCATTCGAAGTATGGCTATCGCAGGGAACAGAAACATATAGGTGGGAGAGGGTCAAGGTGTGTATGGAGGGAATGATCAGGCTGTTCTCTTCCTCGATCGACATCGCGGCGCTGGATGCTGTGTGTCCGGTACAAATGGCCAAGGCGGCGGGGCTTGTGAGGGCACTGGATGTGCATATGTCATGGCTTGGGGGCACGGCGGCGGTGTTGAAGAGGAAGAGGCATGAATGGGATAAAACTTATGAGGTTGGGGAGTGGGATTCTTTCGTCAGTCGGTTTGAGGGCATTGAAGGAGGTGATGGGTGAGGGCGGTACTCTGTTGTGAGATCACGACAACCATGAACACATTTCAGAATCACAGACAGACTTTTTTTCCTCTTTCTCTTCTGTAAGGCCTTTTGCGTAATTCCGTGAACACTGATTTTTTTTCCCCCTAAAAGGTGACGTCCGTACATGCCTATGTGTAATTGTACACTTTCACATGTCCTGCAAATATCTTATCACCTAAGATAACAACTCTGCATAACAACCTCTCCTTCAAGTGAAGGGTGGTATCTTGGCATTTCTTGAAGGAGGGCTAACCTATTGACTCCACTTGAATACTTAGACAGACTGGGAAGTGTTTTGACAATGTCATTTGTGGCTCTGAGCATGTGGAAGTAATTATAAGTAGGCGCAAACATACTTTTCACGGATGTGCTCAAAATCCAGTTCATTGCGATGGCAATGTAGAAGCAAATAAAACTCAGACATCAGTCACCGTAAAGTGAGGAACGACTGAGATTAGATAGACTACCTGTAGAAGCAAATAAAACTACAGGAAGTCAATAATGTAGATAATGATAATGTATCATAGAAAGTACTCACCTCAGACGTCAGTCACCGTAAAGTGAGGAACGACTGAGGTGAGACAGAAATAAGGTTTCGTATATAAAGGGAAGGATTTGTGGCTTGAAGTAAAGATTAGTAAATAACGGAGGTAAATGTGAATGAGAGAAAAGGGAAATAAAAGGACTGGAAAGAAATAATAAAAACATACGTGTATACAATGAAGGTCACGAGACGTCTCCTCTAACACTCCCCCAGACGACGAGAGACCTGAAGGACTCCAGCTTGAGTGCGTCGGCAACATTTTGATGAGTGGGCGGCAGTATATAGTGGCAGGGAGAGGATGATGTTCCGGGGTAATACATTGATTGACGAGAGTGATTTTTAGATGCACTGACGACACGTTGAACTGATCTCTCTGATTCTGGTGATAACTGAACTTTGCATTGAACGTAGAGTGGGGCTGGTGATGAAAACCGAGTTAGGTGGGTGATGAAAGTCTAAGCCCTCAGGCCTGCGTTGGAATGCACTGTCAACGACGGAAGTCGGATAGAGGGGTTTGCGATGACTGCTGCAGAGACCAGTGATTTAATGGGTTAAAGGGATCAAAGAGAATATGGTGTCGTTGATTTTCTGTACTTCATATGTAACGTGATTGGGTTAGCGGAGGAGAGGAAGATCAAGGTCGTAGGGTGGAGGATTATGTGATGTCGGGGGTGGACCATACAAGTGGCCGTGTTGGGATAAAGTGAGTAGGGAATCATAGTGCTGATGGAGGAAACGAAAATGTCGCGAGATGAGAGTCCTTGGGTAATAGAAACGATGGGATGCAGGAATTTCGAGCGCCAGATGGGACGATACCATCAAAAGGCCTGTACATTCGGCGGGATACCCCCACGGCTCGGTGCCTATGGGCCCCGGTATTCAACATGTACGTCACCTGCGCAAGCTATTGGTGTGCGCCTGCTGGTATGAATACACATCCCACACCACACCACACTTGGAGTCGCCGTTCCGAGTATAATCCTATCCGTCAATCCCACAGGATACGTGTTCCCGTTATTACATATGGCAGAGATGGTGAGGTGTGTTGGCGCGCAAAGGTTGTGAGGTTTGAAACGGCGATTTTCTAGAATGAGGTGGTCGGTTGAGGAGGATGGGCTATTGTTATGCTGCCTGCTGCTGCGGTTTGGCGGATTATGAGTTGGGATGTTGAGGAGGTTTGTGCAAAGTTGGGAAGTGGAATGTGTAGGAGGGAAGTGGAAGGTGTAGGAGGGTTTGGAAAAGTGATAAAATGGCATTTGTGCGAGCGAGGGTGACCAATGATCTCTGCCACGTTCACCCTGACATTGAGAAAAGTGTTGATCTCCCCCAGATCCTTCAAGACGCAAATGAGCTCCCCCCAATTTCGTATTTGAAATGTTCTATACGAGGTGTTATCCTCTGTTCGTCCCACCACCAAGACTACCTCCCCCGTGGTGGTAGAACGGGTCCTTGGTTCCATTGTCGAAGAGGTGACTGAGGCATTAACGTTGGAACTGAAAAGTATGTATGGAAGGGATGTTATAAAAGAAGTGACATCTTTGGAGGATATGAATGCAGCGTCCTTCGCTGAGCATTGGCATGGAGTTGGGAGGTATTGGAATTTGGCATGGACACTGGAGTGAGTCGCCGGCGGGTAGAATACGGTGGTGGTGAACGTTTGAACTTTGAACAGTGTGCACGTGATAGGTCCGAGGTATCTCCGAGACCATTTACGTCAATACGAAGTTGTAACTTCTCTCTTCCACAACGGTTGCCTACTGCGGACTTCAATGCGCAGTTGACCGCACAGCGCAATGTGCTCATTGTAGTGAGCCATCCCACATCGAGGACATTCACGGCATTAGGTGGGGAAGTAGCGGCGAACGATAAGCAGCTGCTAGTTGTGTCGTTTTTGGCAAATGATGTTCCAGGTGATAGTGATGGAGGTCGAGGAGCCAACGGCGGCATCGGTTGGTGTCGCAAATGGACGGGACTGGGGCGACGGGGTAGATGGAAGCCGTGAACAGGTGAGCTTGGGTCCGTGCCGCGCGATACTCTCTCAATATCTGATTAGCGTCCAGCTGACAATGGCAGGAAACATTGACGCGCAGAAGGGGACGTCTGGTGTCTTAGCTCGGGTGGTGGAGTGAGTACAGGAGCTGAGCGCTGAGCGTTGATCGTGTGATGGGAAGCTAAACGGCGGTGGTGTAAGTTCAGACACAACAGATGTGTGTGTTGGGAATTCTGATTGGTGAAGATGGGCGTGGTAGGTGGAATGGGTTGCACATTGACTCTGTGAGTACAAGTACCTCCCCCGTGCATCCGTGGACATCATGATGATCCTCTGATCCCCCAGCGGCCGTCTGATAATCCTCTGACAATACAAGGCACGCTCTCTTGCTGTAGGACTAGGGCAGGGTTTTGGGCGAAGCGAGTGTGGGCGACGACACAAAGCATTCATGTGAGTACAAATATGGTGTGTATGGGCATCGCTAATGTGGGTGAAGGTATCTCCCCCTCGTCGACCACAGTCGCATCGGGCGGCAAGTCGTTAGGGGCTGAGTGGACATCAGGAAATAGTGTTTGTGAAGGCTCAGGGGCAGTTGCCGGGGTTTAATGTGTTTCCCGATGCCTTGTGAGAGGTGAGAGTGAAGAGCCGTGGTGGGATTTGTTGACGTGAAAAGGTGAGTAGTGAGTTTCATCTGTGACGACAGTAGTGATGAGTGATATTCACCCGGCAGCCTTGCTCCTTAATCATCGGTCCAGGTACATTCCAGATCAAATAATGCTCCCTCTCTTGAGACTTGGCTTTCCTGGACATCTGCAATCTCGGGTGAGGTGAAAGTAATGAGTTGGAGAATATCATGGCCAATGCATAGGATGATTGACAGGGAGCTAGTAAGTCACCCATCGTATGTATCTTGTGTACACCTGCCTGACGAAATCTCTTGGTATGCAGTATACATAGACTATGGCTCTGGGTTCCGATTGGCATGGGGGCTTTAGGGGTTGGAAAGAAATGGTGGGGCTGCAAGACGAGAATGTCGTGATGTAGTAGGGAACCTTTTGTGAATGGTTGGTGTGGGGCGTGGACCTGGTGGTGTGCCATGTGCGGGCGGGTTCATGATCGTCGTAGAGTAGTGGGGTGAAGCACTGGCACTTCTGGCATGCACAAAATTATTGCATAGTGTGGACGTAAATGCATGGCTGAGGATATGGTGGAATATATGTGACCGCAAAGTGAAGTATGGCGAAGTATATGTGAAGTCGGGAGGAAAAGTGCGATCTTGTGTGTCACCAAAGTAAAGTGCAGTGAAGAGCATGTGAGGCCGGGCAGTAATGTAGGGCCATGTGTGTCGAATGTCATCGCCAGCTTCAAGCCACTAGTGGCTACCACTTTATTTCTATAACCTAGACCCAAGCCTAGAGGGTCATTTCTATAACTTAGACTTAAGCCTAGAGGCCATATCTATAATGCTTAGGATTTTTTGAAAGGCATTTCAAATGTAGGCCTGAGTATTTCATAGTGAATTTTCCATAGATACCCAGTGCATTTTCTGCAAAATTTCAAATGCAGCCCTGGATATTTCATTGTGATTTTTCAATAGATACCCTGGGCATTTCATTGCGATTTTTCAAATGTATCCCTGGATATTTCATTGCGATTTTTCAATAGATACCCTTGGTATTTCATGGCGATTTTTCAAATGTATCCCTGGGTATTTCATTGCGATTTTTCAAATGTATCCCTGGATATTTCATTGCAAAATTTCAATGGATACCTGGCGCATTTCATTGGGATTTTTCAATAGATACCCTTGGTATTTCATGGCGATTTTTCAAATGTATCCCTGGGTATTTCATTGCGATTTTTCAAATGTATCCCTGGATATTTCATTGCAAAATTTCAATGGATTCCTGGCGTATTTCATTGCGATTTTTCAATAGATACCCTTGGTATTTCATGGCGATTTTTCAAATGTATCCCTGGGTATTTCATTGCGATTTTTCAAATGTATCCCTGGATATTTCATTGCAAAATTTCAATGGATACCTGGCGCATTTCATTGGGATTTTTCAATAGATACCCTTGGTATTTCATGGCGATTTTTCAAATGTATCCCTGGGTATTTCATTGCGATTTTTCAATAGATACCCTGGGTATTTCATTGCAAAATTTCAAATGTATCCCTGGGTATTTCATTGTGATTTTTCAATAGATACCCTGGTATTTCATTGCAAAATTTCAAATGTAGCCCCAGGCATTTCATTGCAATTTTTCAAATGGAGCCCTGGGCATTTCATTGCAATTTTTCAAATGTATCCCACATGTCAGGGTCCATGCAATGGGTTTCCCTGGAGGGTGGTCACATGACCAATTACCAAAAATAGTCAAAAAAAGAAAGTTGTAGCCCTACACTGTAGCTTCCCAAATCTGTTTGAATTATGTTCTGAAGTGCTCCTGTTGTGGAGATATGAGGTAAAGGAATTTCAAAAGCATTGTGTTTCTTTTTTTTTTTTGTGTTTTTCTCTATGAAAACAAAACCAAATAACATGATTTCAGTATATTCAGAAAGCTAAAAGAAAGGGCTACAATTATTGTATTGTGGGAAAAATGACCAAAAAAGGAAGGTGCATCCCGTACTACTTATAAGAATCAGATATAGACTACCAAGTTTACTGATAGACTACAAAAAATGTCGGACTTAGACTACACAGTTTACTGATACACTATAAAAGACTACAAAAGTCGAAATTAGACTACAAAGTTTACTAATACACTACAAAAGACTACAAAAGTCAAACTTAGACTACAAAAGCGTGGACTTAGACTACATAGTTAGGGTTAGAGTCAAAAGGTTATCTTGACTACAAAGTTTGTAGTGTGCCCTTTTTCATTAAAAAAGTTTGTA